AAAAGGTCAAAATTTAAAAGTGATAGTTTTGTATAAAATGGGTATTGATTCGATGCAGCTCGTCACGGGGAGTCTAATGGTGGTCTTTTTTTTGCGCCACGGGGTCTAGAATTGCTAAAAATTGAGTTTGAAAATTTGACGTCATCAATTTTGAACAGTTTTTTCGCTATAACTTCGCCAAAAAAAGAGGTATCAATCTCAAATTTGGTGTGTGGATGGAAGGCGGTAAGGACTATCACATATATTCCGGTTTTTGCGAAATTCAAAAATTTTGGATTTTTCTATTATTATATCAAAAAAAAACTTTTTTTTATTTTTGGGGGTCAAAATCCAAAAATTTCAAAAATCCGAGATAGCAGTTTTGTAGCCCTGTCGATTCTACAGCTTTTATGTCTTTATGGTTTTTCTGTATTTGCAAAGCTATAGGCCTGACAGCTCTTACCGCGAAACCCTTTTTTGGGTCGAAAACGACAGAACATGACGTCACTCTGACGTCATTTCCGGCCAACCTATCATAGCCTTTGGAAAAATTGTTGGTCACAATGTGTAAAATTGATGTCCGGGAGGGTACTGAAAGTTTGGTGACGATCGGCGCAGCGGTTCTGGAGATATATCGAAAAGTCTGGAGGGGGGGGGGGGGGCAAAAAATAGCCCCCCCCCCCCCACCAGGTCGCGGGATATAGGGCCCTAAGAGACACTAGTATGACCCTCAAAGGCGCCGCTGTGTGACGCTCATAAACACTGGTGTGGAGCCATCACAGGCGGATGGAGCCGTTAGAGGCCGGAAAGGGCCCTTAGATGCCTACAAGGAGCCTTCAGAAGCCGGCGTGGCACCCTTATGGGGATAAGCGTGTCTACTTAGGAGCCCTTGAGGTGCTCTCATGAGCTCTGTGGGGCCCTACCGAGCCGAAATATGGCCACGGCCAGTTGCCGCCGCATGGCTCTTCGGACTAGCATTCTCAGGGGCCTCATCTGCCTTGTTTGAATAGAAGGGCCTCTCAGACCATCAGTCTCATGGGCCTCCTCTGGCTAGTATAAATAGAAGGGCCTATTAGACCATCAATCCTAGGGGCCTCCTCTGGTTAGTATAAATAGAAGAGCCTCTCAGACCATAAATCTCAGGGGGCTCCTGTGGACAGTATGAATATAAGAGCCTCTCAGACCATCGGTCTCAGGGGCCTCTTCTGACTAGTGTGGAAAGAGGGCCCTCCCAGACCACCGGTTTCAGGGGCCTCCAGTGGCCAGTTATATGAACAGAAGGGCCTCACAGCCATCAGCCTTGGGGGCCTCTTCTGACTAGTGTGAATATGAGGGCCTCTCATACCATCAGGGGCCTCCTCTGCCTAGTGTGAATATAAGGGCTTCCCATGCCATCAGTCTCAGGGGACTCTTCTGACTGGTGCTGGATTGAGGGACCTCCCAGACCGAAAGTTTTGGGGGTCTCCTGTGGCCAGTATGAATGGAAGGGCCTCTCAGTCCATCAGTCTCATGGGCCTCTTCTGCCTAGTGTGATTATAAGGGCCTCTCAGGTCATCAGTCTCAGGGGCCTCCTCTGACTACAGTGTAGATGGATAGGCCTCCCAGACCATCAGTCTCAGGGGCCTCTTCTGACTATTGAGGATAGAGGGGCCTCCTCTGACTAGTGAGGGTAGGGGCCTCGGCTAGACCGCCAGTGTCAGGGGCCTATTCTGACTAGTGTGGATGGAGGGGCCTCCTAGACCACCAGTCTCAAACCTCTGACTAGTGTGGATAGAGGGGCCTCCCAGACCGCCAGTGTCAAGGGCCTCCCCAGACCAGTGTGGATATTGGGGCCTCCTCAGATCCACTAGAGTCTATCAGGCCATCAGTCTCAGGGGCTTCGACTGACAAGTATGAACAGGGGGCCTCCTTGGATCCATCACGGCCCCTTGGAGTCCGTGCGTGGGGATTCGTGGAACTTATTTTTACCGAGTTTGTTTATTCTGGAAGGCGACGACGTCCTCTCAAATCGAGACGAGGGGCCTCGAGTAAAAAGTGGGTGGGCCAAAACACATGGTTGGCCCCCCCACCTCGAAAAGTGGGTGGGCACTTGCCCACCTGGCCCCCCCTGTTCCTACGCCTATGGTACGGTCTAAAGCGAGGTGCGTTTGTAAACTCTTCTCACGTTCAATAAGGATGCAGGAGGAACAGATCAACTGACGTCTGTTTACCTTCAAGATCCTCTTATGAATCAGCTTAAGCGTTGATAAGGCAAAAGTCAAAACGGCAACATTCTAAATATCCCCATCATCACAACTTCATCAGCGGCCCACGCTGGGACATCAGTCATGTGGAAGTGACACTTCCGACATACGCCGTGTCGAGCTGACATACGGTCATAGAATCCTCTCCGACACCTCTCGACAGCTGTCGCTCGCGCGCTCCGCGTGCTCGCCACGGTTCGTCGCTGACGCGCCAGTTTCGTGGCTCATTAGGTGGCGCTGACGTGCGCCGAAGTTGTCACCGGTGCGTCACACTCAGCACGGACAGCCCCGCATATAACGGTGACATTGTGCTCGAGATTACGGATGGCAAGTCCAGAGAGACACAAGGGCGGCGCCACCGTGGGGGCAGTGGGGGCAGACTGCCCCCACTGGCAGGAGGCCGTGGGGGCAAGACTATGTTTTTGCCCCCACAAAATTTGGCTGATGTTGAAAAGGGAACAGAAGACCAGTGCAACATTCATGATAAGCGGTTATAATAGTACGCCTGTTTTGACGGTCCCCGTATCAAGTGCACATCAGCAAAACGTTCGTTCTCGGACCGTCTGTCGCATATCTCCTACTCCCACTCATTCTCCTACTCATGTTCATTCACCGTGATTGACTCCCGACAAATCATCGGCGTCACTTGCTGGCTGTGCGTCCAGTTAGCGATGGACATTGGCTACAGACTGGTAGGCCTCAATCACCCTTAATCGTCGAGAATGGTCACGTGCTGACTAAATACCAAGACGTACCCGTATCGGAGACCTCTATGTTGCGGCGTTAGCTGTCTCTGTAGGAAGCGGGCTCTCTAGCAAAAGCTATTTTGTCTACAGAAATTAGTTACTGTGGAGCACATTGCTACCAGCCATGGCAACCACGTATGACGTAAGCTCAGTAACGAACCAATTCCAGCGTGCCTTTAAGCAAGAGAGCCTATAAACGTAAAATTTAGGTGAAAACGAACTTATGGGACTCACCTGTAGATATCCACACCAATCTCACGTGCTTTCAAGCATTTTTGGGATGTTTCGGTTGGTTTCAGGTTCAGTCCGAGCTCAGTCTGGGTTTCGGTGGTTTTGCCCGGTGTGTGCCCTCAGTTCCGTTCATCCAATTCTTGCCCAAGGCAACGCAAGAGCGCTGCCGGCATCTAGTAGTACCTAATTAAGACATGTTTTCCCATCCTGAGGCTCTTAAATGAATGCTTAGAGCAAAATGGATGCCAGAAACGTGATCAGCGGCTACGAAATCATCACAAAGGACTTTTCATGTGTCAAAATCAACCAAAGATCATTCGAGGTCACATGAGTACCATAATAATTTTGAATGGCAACATCTAGGGGCAAGGTGCTCATGGATTTTGCAGATCGGCGTATCAGACAACAGTCGGGTCACCTCAAGCTTGCCCCCACTGGCGAAAATTCGTGGCGCCGCCACTGGAGAGACATGCAGGAGGAAGAAATAGCCTTGGATAACCATGGAGAGGACTAGGAGAGAAGAGAGGAGGGAGGAAGGGAGGGAAGGAGCGGAGAGGGAGAGAGGAGGGAGGAAGGGAGGGAAGGAGCGGAGAGGGAGAGAGAGAGAGAGAGAGAGAGAGAGAGAGAGAGAGAGAGAGAGAGAGAGAGAGAGAGAGAGAGAGAGAGAGAGAGAGAGAGAGAGAGAGAGAGAGAGAGAGAGAGAGAGAGCTGGATCGTAGACCGATAAAGAAATATCGATGGGCCTACCAGAACAGATCCCGACACCTAAAACCTGTAGCCCCGAAAGCCGAGAAGAGAAAGCACGATAAACTTCAGCCCCTTACTCTCCATTGACAGGGAAATCCATGGCGATCTCAGTGGCACCATAGGCTCTGAGTAGGACCCTGGGACCGGTCTCCGGTGCCTCACCGTTCTCCGGGGAGGACGCTGTCCCGCTCCCCGCCCATTCAGCTCACCCCACAATACCGTCCCGTCCGTCGGCCAGCCCCGGTCAGGACGGCGCTCGCACCCCGCCCGCTTACCGGCCGGATTTTCACGCTCGACACAATGGCTGCTTACCTGTGCGCGCTCCGATCGCGCCCGGGATAAAGGAGCGGATTACGCCTCCCCTCTCTCCTCTCGCTCTCCCCTCTCTTTCCCCACCAGACGTCTCCTCTTCAGAGAAGGCAGGTGGAAAACAACGGTGCGCGCGCATGGACTCTCCCCGAGGAAAATATTTTGCCCACTGATACAGTGCGCATGCCGAATCACTGGCATCCCGACCCTAGCTGACGTCTATCAGTGAGTGTTTGCGGAGTTTGGCCAAGTGTGTACGGCCACGGCGGAGGGGGGGGGGGGGGGAGACGCCCGACCTTTGCGCCCATCACCGTCTGTTTATTTACCATAGGGCCAACAGAGATGCGCTCGACTGGCACGCCAAGTCGTTCCACCCCGCGGTGGCAGTGGGACCGAGTTATGCGGTGTTGTTGAGAGGATAGGGTCATGTCGTCAATCGTACCGTACTGCAACCCTTCCCACGGACAGTATCCAGCCCAGCAGAGAGCCGAAACTGAGATGAGCCACTCGCTGATTTGATTTATTATGGAGAGTACTTCAAACAACTATGGACAAAATAATCAGTATTAGATTGCCGACAGCCGTAAGATTCGAAACCTGCATGATTCGTTCCTCGAATCAGAAGTGTTGTGCAAATATCTGAATCACCCTTGGGCCTTCTCGAATTAAGTTAACTTCCAGAGCTACGTTTAGCGAGCTCCGCGTTTCTCATCAACCCAACTGATTCACCCAGCAGAGGCGGTACCAGGTGTCTATGTGTTTATTGTACTGGTCGAGCGGCACTTGATTGGATCAATTCCACAGCACCGACACATTTGAGTGGGTCTCACACGCGCGCGCCGTCCGCTGCCACTGCCGCAGCCTCTGACCGACTGACTGTTGGCACTGCAGTCACAAACCGACAGTCACGGACTACAGGACACGGCACGGCACGGCACGGCACGGCACGGGACTCGGGGAGAGGTAACGACACTAGCCTCCGCCGCCGGCCCGTACACACACACAGCCGGGGCAACGCATAAACCAGTTCATCGGCCTACCGAGTTGTGGGCGATGCACCGCCGAGCATACACTGGTATGTACACGATATAAAAGTATTATCATACAATCATAGAACTATCAAGTGTGAAACAAAACCACTAGGTCGCGTTCTCAGGCCCCAGCGTCGTTCTTTTGTCGTTTGTGAGGAAGTATCATCAGCTGATCGACAGCCGCTGACTGGCGGAGCTGGTATTTTAGATGGCAAGAGGCCGCGGGCCGCCCTAAACCAGACACCAGCTCATGTGGCTTCTCAGAGCCAGCTGTGTGACCAAACCTACCACACATCCCCAGACCTTGCCAAACACCCTGACTTCCGTCACATCCGTCACGCCTGACACATTGACAGGCCGCCAACAGATCCACCACACGACTGCCGACTGTCACAGGGCACACCAATCATGACTTCATCCTCTCACCTATCCCGGCGACCTGCCTTACCAACAGCCCTCCGTGCGGAGCCAACCTACCCTTCTGGGCCACCGCCTACACATCACAGGGGTCAGTGGGCCGCCTCGGCTGCGTCCTCCTCCATCAGCAGCGACTCCTTCGAGTACGTCTCGCCGAAGCGTCCCATGTACTTCTTCACATAGTACTTGGCCTTGTGCTTGACGCTCTCGCTGGCTGATAGTTCCTCCACCTGTTGTACGTTCTTCAACTCCTTCACCATGACGTGGTGGGTAAGCTGTGGGAAGAGGAAGGTGGTCACACAACTGCCGAGAGTCACGGACAGAAGCACAAACCAAACACACTCAGTGGGCCGGGATAGGCGGACATGGTCGACCCGACCAGGCTCTCTGATACAGTGATGGGCGCCTGTCAACAGCCAGGTATGCCGCGCTGTACGACATCTTGATTAATGGCCAGTCGCAAACGGAGCTGACAGGGACAGGTAGCGACGCGAGATCGTATCGCACGGGCGGGCGACAGCGCCGACAGCGCCGTTACAGGAGCCAGACACGCCTGATCCCTGTGAGATCCTAATTAGCGTTCAGAGAATAAAATGTCACTGCATAAAGACAGAATTCGTTATCTCCTTGTGGTATTCTAAGACAGAAGACTCCCAATCTGAAAGTCAGATTCGCTATTCGGCGACCAGGAAAACACCAGCTCTCAACACCTGACACAGCCGCGTAAAATTTCGCAGCATGCCTATTGCCTAGCCCTTCACAGGTCACACCCAAATCCGTCATAACACCACCCTAGACATTGGTAGACAAACAGTCACAGACTAGCAATGTATCAAATCGAACACATCCACAACATCAGCCCCTCTCACAACCTAGCAATGTACTCCCTAACCGAACTGATCACTCCACACACCAGTCCTGACCGTGTCACAATCCAGCAGTGCTCCAATCAGACATATCACTCGCCGCTCACCCGTCACCCGGCATCTCCTTCCCCACGGCGCCCCGGACAGCGCGCACATTCCACCAGGCCCGCAGTGTCCCCGTCAGAGGTGACAGCACGCGCTCACTGGAATGTCCGGTGAGGCGCCTGAGTTTTTGTCCGGTGGCCGGTCAGGTCGTTTAGTCAGCGCTAGGACGGTGACCGCTCTGACTACACGACTGACCGAACGCCGCCCGAAACGACTGACCGAACGGTCGAGGCGGTCACTCCAGTACCTGTCCGTGCTTCTATCCTCAGGATACTGAAATCCTTCTCCTCCACGCCACAGTCCCCTTCCGGGCTGGGCAGGCAACTTTATCTCATGCGGGCTGATCCCTTGGAGCGGCACCGCTGCTCCCGAGGGAGCGCACCCCGTAGCCGGGTGCAGTGAGTGCCTTGGGGCTGGGTGGCCTGTCCTCTGGACGGGCTCAGCCCCGGCGACTCACTAGGGTGCCTGCCCAGACCAATGTCTCCCCCTAATTCCTATCATCCTTCCGGCTCTGAAATGGTCACAATTGACCGAAAGGGCCTAACCCAACAAAACAAACAAAATCACTCCAGTTCGGACGGATGCTGACTGCTGAGAAGGTCGCTCAACTCACAGTGGCCGTAGCCGAGGTTTGCGATCGCGATGAAATCATAAGCCGATAATTTCAGCCAGCGCGTGTGGCCGGCACTGGCAGCGCGGAAGTCTGAATTCATTGGCCAATTTTATCGCGATAATGTCATATTTGAACCGAACAATGGGCATTACGATGACTAATCGAGAGCCCATTGTTCTTTGTTTGAACAGACCAGTCGCCACCGAATACGGTACGAAAATAACAACCGATGCGAACTTCTCACACAAGGCGGCACATTTTATTTTCTGGTCGCTCATAGCGAATGTTGAATAGCGAAAGTTGGTCAAGCTCATTCCCAACCTCCAGTATCTAGAGTTGTGGGGATACGGGTGGGGATGGGGCGGGGGGGGGGAGCTGCAGGAGAGCGAGCCCGACCACCGTCGCTCCATTAATTAACAGGAGCAACAGTAGGGCGAGTGCGTGTCACTCCCCTGTGACAACTCCCTACAGGGATCAGTACAAGACAGTATCGCTGGCTCGTATCGGGACCCCGAACGTCAACTACACAGCAGTAGATACAACTCCCATTAATCCAGTATTTGTAGGCGGGACTCCGGTTTTTGCCAGCGCACTCATTAAGCCGTCAAATAGCTGGAGTTGCCCGCACGTTTTTATCGGGATACAGGGAGTGCAGGCGTCGTAATTAGTGGAGAACTGGTGCAGCGATCTCTATCAGGAAGCCAGGCCAAAACTGGCTTACTGGCCACTGGCCAGTACGCAGTTTTCACGAAATTCTCTGAGCTTCCCATGAAGTTATCTTGGAAGACGGCGTTGTTAACCATCGTATGACTAATCTCACCCTACAGAGCAGAAGAGTTCGCTTCACTAGAAATATTGGACGTAAAAATAATGAAGCCGGACTGCCACTATACGGCTTGGACAGCTTCAAACGACAGCTTTGGCACTCAATTAAAATAAACAACTTCCGAGTCGCCAGCCTTCTACACCACACAAAAGAGCCCCCACATATATTCTCTCCATTTTACAGTTGACCAGCCGCTCCTTTCTCTGCAGGGCGGGTCGGTACAGTCTATCACCACTAGTCTCTGTCACGCCCGGTAGCACGCGTCCTGGCCACAAAGAGCCGTCTGATGTGTGCTCCACGCGCTAATCTGCCCTGTCGCGGCCAGTAGCGCGCCTGCACAATATCACCACTGCGAGCCAGCAGTGTCAGCGCCGAAGGTCGCTGCCTTTGTGAGGGCAGCCATAGCGAGAAAAGGACGCAAGGAGACGCTGCAGATACCGTCAGCTAGGCGTGAATAGGTGGCGCTGATTGGGATATAACGAGTTCTCAGTTCGTGGGACCGAGCTGAATCTACCGTATCGACCGAGGAAAAACTTGGGCTGAGGATCAACTGAGCTTCCTTTCATGTCTCCGATTCTGTTCGTCATCAGATCCGAGCTAAAAGCTTCGTCAATCCCTTACTACTTCCGTCCACACTACCGCTTATTTGGCCGGTCTCTCACAGCAGTCTAAGCCTTCGCTCTGAAATCCCCCGTACGCCCGATATAAAGACCCGCCTATGCGCCCGGAGGCCCGCCACTGGTCCCACTCTGGGGCACGTCCGGCCTGTCAGCGCCAGTGGCAGCTGAGACAAGTCACCGAACCGACCGACTCTGTACGGCCTGAGTTGAATGGGGCAGTTTTTGTAGGAGAGTCATATCGGATACAAGTCATGCCGAGACCACAGTTAAGAAAACAACCATCTAAGTGACATACAGATAGACAGAAATCAAGTTCGGCACGAGTGACAAGCAGATTATTCACGTCACGCCACTCGTTTTGTTCCACATGAGTAGGCGAAAGTAGCGCTACCGTTTCCTAACGCCACACCACAAAGCCACCACTCAACGCTCTGCTCTGACCACAAACCCCGGGTCAGAAGCCCGGCACGATACTCCCATCACGCCTCACAGAGGCCCAGATTCCACAGACATTCCAGCAAAGACGAATAATTCTCACGGATGGATGCCAGAGAACGCCAGCATCGGAAAGTCCCACTGTCGATTTAATAAAAGTAACTAGGTTTCCAGTCATACCATAAAGCTAGATGATAATGTCAGCATTGTTCCCACAAACCGAAATGAAACAAGAGCAAATAAATGGTATCGGATAGCATTAGATCTTACATCTTTAGCCCTATAAATCCAGATTATGTCCATTTGTTCAAACTTTCGTCACGCTCGTACCTTTTTGGCCAGGAACTTGAAGTCCTCGTTGCAGGTGATGCGGCCCTGCTTGCAGCCCGACTTGCGGAAGGCGTTCAGAGCCGACACGATCACGCCAGACATCTGAGCCAGGAACTTATCCTTGATCTGCAACAAGGCGATGGAGATGGTGTCAATTCTCCGGCAGATTGGCAGATGGAGGGAAAGAGGGCAATGAGGAGGAGAGGAGCTGCGCTAGTTACATGCATGACGAACTGTCAGATACAAGCCATTGAGCGTCCCCTCAGTGCCCCATAACCCCGAGTTCAGCTCCCTGTCTAGTTATGTGCCGAACGTATCCCCACGCCCCATCTGTTCCGAACGTGCTCACTGGCGTCAGTCGCCAGTCGTTCTGATCCGGACCCGCCGGCGCCAGTCGACAGTCTACTGACTCACTGCTGTAGTCAGACCGGAGCCTTAACTGACGAACAGCCCGCCGTTTCCCGACACATCCCCGCAATTTACGGATCGCCAGAGAGGTGTTCGTCAAAAAATGTAACGAAAATACCCCCGAACTGGCACCAGCCACACACCCTAGCGGGCTGCTCCGCCCTCCGACCGATAATGTTGTCGCGTCCATCACAGCCTGGCTGACAGTTATTGGTCTGATGGGGTTGACCGAGCCGATAGGCGCCTACCCAGCGGCCGACAGAGCTGCCAAACCAGCGCCGCGCCGCTCGGTCACCGCATCAGCCGGCGACTGATCCAGAGATCGAGCCAGAGGTCGATACTAAGAGCTCCGATCGAAAAACGACCCCAGAACAGTGAAACTACGAGGCCGTTCCCGACCCAATGATAGACGAGATACAAGTGTCGCTGGATCCAGTCCACGTCACTCTGCTCAGGTAGGTATAAAAGTAAAACTGATTCGATCTGAGCTGAGCTGGCCAGCTTACTCAGTCGCAGGAAGTGCTAACAAATCGAATGAGACACGCTGAATGTTACAAAAAGTTCAGATGCGGTTGACTGATCCCTGAGGAAATCGAAACACGGCGTTGCTAACGCACGTTGCAGTGGCGGACCGTACGCTCCTCAAGAGACTCAGACAGGCTTTGATAGCATTTCATTCAGCTCAATGGCAACTGTCGTGACCCATAGTATAGATGTCGCATTGATCTCGACAACACAATTTTCCACGGTGAGAGGAAATGGTTGTACATTCTGTTTGACAGGTCAACTGCCTGGAGCCTAACAGGTACTTTTGACAAAATGTATGTAATCAATTTGCAGCAAGTGTCGGTAAGATTTCCGACATTTTCCCAGACCCCTTAAGACGTTGGGTTCAAATTAGCAACAATATCCGAAGTAGCGGGTATTGTTAGCGGATATTCCGAAGTAGCCGGCATGAAGATGCTCGCATGCGTCGCAAACCCCAACACAGGCAATAAACAAAAGTTTTCTCAGAAATTCCAGAATCGGATTCCAAGTTGTCGAGTTCTCGCTAATTGGATGCAACTACGAACAAGTACCGAGTCGAAAATACAATGTTTGCCTACTACTTCACCCATAAGGTACACAATTTTATCACTTACTTCGTACAACGGACTAACGAGCTAACTTAGAAACATCTCAATGCAGAGCAGGCCAAAGTTAGGAGACGCATCCAGGTCAACAGAGCCCCACATCCGAACAAAAACACCATCAGAAAATCACATTCCAGTAGAACGCTTCCTACCCACACGCAAAACAAGGTGCTCGAGCTGCAGGAGTTTTCGAAAACCAAATCAAGTTTTAAAACAGTGAGCAACAATGGGGCCAATGTACCGCCACCTGTGCGGCAGGCAGGTGTCCAGCCACTCAGCTGCAGAGATCGAGCTGCTCACCCCCTCTGCGCTTACCTTCCGCGCCACCTCGGAGCTGGTGTCCGCCGCTGCCGTCGTCGGCTTCTCCTTCCGGCTCGAAGAGGACGATGACGATGAGGAAGAGGCTGCCACTGACGACGACGACCCGGACGCCGCCGCCGAGCTCGACACTCGCTTCACCTCTATTTTGCGCTTCTTTGAGGAGCTGGCGGCGGCTGCCGCGGCAGCAGCGGCGGCCGCCTTGCGCTTTCTCCGCGCCCTGCTGTGAGGGCGGAGCGGGAGAGACTTTGTTACTTATCGTCCTAAGCCAGAATCGATGGGACAATACTCTTAGCAGGCTGAGAACAAACTGAGTATTCAAGCATAGCGCTTTATCAGTGAGTGTGCGGCCTATTTCCAAACAGCTCCAAAGCAATCCAGACTACATAGACCATCATCTAAATCATTTTTTTTGCGATGTCTTCCAGGCGCAAATCGCACATCATCCGGTAAATCGGAGCTCATCCCTCAACCCTGTTCCCCTCCCCGCTATACTCACGCCTCCTGTTTCTTGGCCTGGTGTTTCCGCAGCGCCTCCTCCTTGGCCTTGAAGCGGCGTATCCGCTCCTCCTTCTCCCTGCGGCTCTGGTCCGGCGGCTGCTCCGTGTCGCCCGGCGGAGTGTCCTCGGCTGCGGGCGGCTCCGGCGGCTCCGCTACGGCCGGCTCCGGCTCCGGCTCCGGGTCGGCTCCCTCGGCGGCGTCCGGCGGCTCCGGGTCACCGGTGGGCGAGTCGACCGGCGGCGGGGCCGGCCGCCGGCGCCGGGGCCGCGGGCCGCGCGGCGCCGACTCGGGGTCGAGCCGGCGCTCTCTCCGCGCCTCGGCCTTGGCTTCCCGTTTCAGTCGGTGTCGCTCCCGGCGCATCTCCTGTTTACTCATCTCCGGCACCGGCTGTGAGCAGGGACGGGACGGGGGCAGAGGTGGTTAGAGACGGACAGCGTTAGGAAGGGATGAGGCGACAACAAAACAGTCGAGATAATTTCAAAGAGAAAGAGGTAATACTCTTAGGAAGGGCGATCAATCGATCGCAGACGTACAAGTTACACATTGGAGACCGAAACAAAAGGTCGGTCATAAATAGGTACACACGCTAGCATTCGCAATTATGATTATCAACAAAAAGCACGCATGCACGGAATCTCGCTTACGCAAAAAAAAAATCACAAGCCCAGGAACAGGCAGAGGAGCCCACACCGGCGAGTCGGCCCAGCCCTCCGAGCCCCTCGCTCCCCACTCACACTGATGATCCGCTCCTGGACGAGCCGGTCGCGCCGTTTGCCGCGCCGCCGTCGGTGCTGGTCGACCATCCGCCGCCGGTCAATATCCTCCTCTTTGGCCATGTCCTCGGGAAGCTCGTTGGCCACGGGCTCGTCCTCCTCATCGCCGGGCTTACTCTGAGGGAGGAGGGCGGGAGGACAGCGCCGGTCAGCGCGCGGCGAGACGGCGCCCCGGTGGTTCTTAGGACGAAACCAGAGCGATTCCGAAGATTGAGAATGCCATGATAAGTTTTATGAAAATAAGGGAGAGAAAAGAACGCGAGCGAATGACACGTTTTCCATATTTCACATCTTTCTAAAGTAACGAACAGGCACGCACGCGAACTTGTGAATATCCCGATATACAAATAGCAGCTTATCTGGGACACTCCTTACCAGTCACTATGAATATCGCAAATGGTGTACACACAGGCGCGATCGCTCCAATCATCTCCACCAAAACCCGCCCTGGGCCGCCCACCCCACCCAGCGCTGTCTGCCGGCGCGGTCTAACCTCATCCTCGCTGCTGGAGCTGCTGTCACTGGAGCTATCACTGGAGCTGCCGCCGTCAGTGGGTGACGAGTCAGCACTGGAGCCGCCGGCCGTCCACAGCGACTGCTGGACGGTGACCGCGCCAGGCGGGGGGATCCAGTCGGCGCTGACCGGCGGCGTCCACTGCGTCTGACGGGTCACCTGGGAGAGAGCGGAGGGAGGTTAGAGTACAGCGAGAGAGGGTCTGATCACTGCGTCTGACGGGTCACCTGGGAGAGAGCGGAGGGAGGTTATAACTAGTACAGCGAGAGGGGGTCTGACCACTGCGTCTGACGGGTCACCTGGGAGAGAGCGGAGGGAGGTTATAGTACAGCGAGAGGGGGTCTGACCACTGCGTCTGACGGGTCACCTGGGAGAGAGCGGAGGGAGGTTATAACTAGTACAGCGAGAGGGGGTCTGACCAATAAGTTTGACGGGTAATCTGTAATAATAAATGACAACGTGTGACAAAACGGCAAAATAACCATCTTTTAAGTCACATTTTCGATACCCATTGATTCGCCCCGCGTCACTCCGCCCGCCATGGCCCTCCCACCTGATGGTAGAAGTAGATGCGGTCGTTGTCGTCCTTGGCTATCCTCCACCGCGGTGGCAGCGTGATGACGGGCTCGGGCGGGGGCGGCGGCGGCGGCGGCGGCTGGCCGGGCGCCGACCGCTCCGGTAGCGGGATGTTGCCCAGGCTGACGTTCGGCTGGCTGGGGTCGTTGTAGCTGGCCAGCCGGTAGGCGGCGCCGCTGTCCGACTCGGGGACCGAGGAGAGCGCTATCTCGCGGCCGTCCTCGCCCAGAAACCTGCAGCAGCGAGAGGGTGATGGGGTTAGAGGGGAAAGGCGAGACCTACAGGGAGATCACCGGCTGATCAGACGTAGAGAATGGCGATGAACTGACGAAATAGCTGTCGATAAAAGCTGCTAAATCAAAACGGAGATAGCAGTGAGCGATAGCTCTTAGTTGAGCGCCAGACTTCGTTTTTTTTTTTTAGGGACAATACTTCAGGCCCACTTTGCTTATATACGGAAATGCAGGGGCTGCATCTACAAGGTAGATGTAGGTGTAGCTTCCTGAGATGTACATTCTACATCTCAAGAACAATGGGTTGATTGCGCTCAGTTGAGACACCGTTCCGTTCTAGAACGGTGCAGGGGGAGGGGGTCACTCTGCACAATGCACATGCTATTGCGACCGCCGTTTGTCAAAAGGCGTCCTACTGGTTGTGAACGTCGGTCTTCTGTACCCAGAACGTGTCTAGAACAAGTCGGCGCGAGTGCTGTCGTGCTGTAAATAACCGTAGGTTGTTTGAAATAGACAAGCACTATTCGTTAGAATTGTTTTTTTTTTATTGATGCAACAGGTTGTCAGGGACAGGGGAGTGGTCACACGTTGTGTGTGGGCGTGGGATTTTGGCCATTTCCCTTATCACCGTCAGTGATGACTGCTTGATGAATGTTGTACGAAGCGGTGTAGAACTGTAAGCAAGTAGCACTTCTGCACTAGCCTTCAAAAATCGTTCATGGATCTGTATATATTCAAAAGATAATACTGATAATACACTTTTATACCAGAAAGCCCGTATAATCATTACATTTTGATACTTTACATATGGTATCAGCAGAGCTACCTGGGAGGAGGGGGGTAATGGGGTTTAGGACGCCTCGGCGACAAAGGCCATTTTGGGCAAAGCTACCTCCACATCGACATATCTCACACATTTCGAAGTGTTTTATCAAATATGTGTGTCACAGGTTCGTTTTCGATCTTAGGCACTCTGAGCTGTTCGAATGGGGTATTGAATCTCGACAGTAGCCATCTAAAAATTTCGAGCAGCATTTGACTTGAATTTGTCATTGATTCAGCGGAGGTCATTGATTTTGTCATTGATTCAGGGAAATCTCGTTTCATATCTTCAATGGAACTTGTAAATGGCTTGGGTAGATTTGGATTAACAGCTCCATGGAGCAGCGTTAACATCCATGTATAATGTCTAAAAGCGTGAGGCCATGTCGAAACAGAATGCCGCTTGCCGATATGATGACTGACACTGATGCCATATCAGCTCGTAGGTGTGGTGAGCCCCACGTCTGCGGTAGAGGAGCCCAACAGACGTCACGAAATGCATCTGCGCGCAGCAAATGCAAGATCGCTAAAATATAATGCCGTTCGTCGAAATTCTATAAAATATGTCTTTTTGAGGAGCAAAAATGTGCAATAACTGTAGCACATTTTGACTGAATTTTCAACTCCAGCCCGGTGATGGGCGGGGGGGGGGGGGCAGCCCGTTGAGGGTACCGCACGCTGTGGGGCCGACTGGCGGGGGCGCTCGGGATGACCTAAGGGGCTGACTCATGAATGGACTGCAATGCAAGCCGCAGAGGCGAGTGAGGGGGAATTACCGACCGTGATCGTGCATCCACACCGTGAGCTGAAATAATAAGCACACTGGCACACACTGGAAAAGTACATGCTTCCACAAGATGAGTAATCCCGTGTCTGTGACTGCGCTATGGTTGTGCCTGTGTCTGAGACTGACCTGCCGGGCAGCTGTGACTGACTGTGTGTCTGACTGACTGTGTGTCTGACTGACTGTGTGTGACTGACTGTGACTGTGTTTGTGACTGTGCGTGGGTCTGTCACAAACACAGTTTAAATAAAAACGGAGCTAGCAGTGGGCTATAGCTGCGCTGGCGGATCCAGACTTGCTTTTTTAGGGGAGGGGGGGGGGGGCAACTCACGCAGGAGACAAACATAGGGTACCCCCAAATCCTGTTTTCTCATGGGATTTAGCTCGTCGGATTTAGTTCTCGTCGGATTTAGGTGTGGGGAACAAGGATCGGGAGGAGGAGAGCCCTCCTACAACTGGGACGCCAAAGGACGTTGGAGGGAGATCTAAAAACAAAAATGGTAGCCCACCCGAACCATGCCTACATATTTCTTTGCAAACACTTCACATTGCTTTAGTTGACCAGTGCACCCGCTCCCGGTCAATCTTGGCGCAACCTATGCGGGCCGGGAGGCGGTAAAAAAAACCCTGCCTAACTCGGCTCCTGGGTCACGCACTGATTGAACTATGTTTCATCATCGTTTGGAGGTGGGGGGCAAACAGGCCACTTTAGGCCTGGGGGGCAAGCATGGCCCTAAATGCCCCCTCCCCAATCCGCCAGTGGATGGCTCTGTTAGTTGAGCGCCAGACTTCGTTTCTTTTTTTTAGGGACAACGCTAAGGGTTCCACTTATCACATGCGGAAATGCACGGGCTGCATGTAGGTGTAGATTCTTGAGATGTAGATTCTACATAGATCAAGAACAATGGGTTCATTGTGCTCAGTTGAGAGTTGAGACGCCGTGAACGGAGCAGGGGGAAGGGGGTCAATCTGCACAATGCACATGCTATTGCGGTCGCCGTTTGTCAAAAGGCGTCCCATTGGTTGTGAACGTCGGTCTTCTGTACCCAGAACGTGTCTAGAACAAGTCGGCGCGAGTGCTACCGTGCTGTGAATAACCGTAGGTTGTTTGAAATAGACAAGCACTATTCGTTAGAGTTGTTTTTTATATTGATGCAACAAGTTGTCAGGGACAGGGGAGTGGCCACACGTTGTGTGTGGACGTGGGATTTTGGCCGTTTCCCCTTATCATCGTCAGTGATGACTGCATGATGAATGTCGGACGAAGCGGTGTAAACTGTAGCATAGATAACATGAATAGCATAGATAACATGATTCATGTTATCTTTGACTGTAGGTAAGCAAGTAGCACTTCTGCACTAGCCTTCAAAAATCGTTCATGGATCTGTATAGTGTATATATATATATTCAAAAGATGATACTGATAATACACTTTTTTATACCACAAAGCCCGTATAATCATTACATTTTGATACTTAACATATGGTATCAGCAGAGCTACCTGGGGGGAGGAAGGGGGGGGGGGGTAATGGGGCTTAGGACGCCTCGGCGACAAAGGTCATTGGGGCCAGAGCTACCCCCACATCGACATATCTCACACATTTCGAAGTGTTTTATCAAATATAAGTGTCACAGGTGCGTTTTCGAATCGATCTTAGGCACTCAGAGCTGTTCGAATGGGGTATTGAATTTCGACAGTAGCCATCTGTAAATGTCGAGCAGCATTTGACTTGAAGGTTTTGCCATTGATTCAGTGAAATCTCGTTTCATTTCTTCAATGGAACTTGTAAATTGCTTGGGTAGATTTGGATTAACAGCTCCATGGAGCAGCGTTAACATCCATGTATAATGTCTAAAAGCGTGAGGCCATGTCGAAACAGAATGCCGCTTGCCGATATGATGACTGACACTGATGCCATATCAGCTCGTAGGTGTGGTGAGCCCCACGTCTGCGGTAGAGGAGCCCAACAGACGTCACTAAATGCATCTGCTCGGAGCAAATGCAAGATCGCTAAAATATAATGCCGTTCGCCGAAATTACGTAAAAAAAATGCCTTTTTGAGACTGTAGCACATTTGGACTGAATTTTCAACTCCAGTCTGGTGATGGGTGGCCCCAGCCCGTTGACGGCGGGGGCGCTCGGGCTGACGTAAGGGACTGACTAGACTGCAATGCAAACCCGAGATGGGGGGGGGGGTATCGAACGTATCGATCTAGCGCACCCCGATTGTTATCTGAAACGACAAACACACTGCACTGGCGGGCGTCGGCGGCCAGACCATAGTACGAGCCAGTCCACCATAGCCGTCGGTCATACAGTGAGTCGCGGTTCGTCAGTGTAGGTGTGACATCGTCTGAAAACTCCCCTGGCACCACAAGTTCAGCAGAGGAATGATACAAGCCTATCATGATGAATCAAATGGATCCTAGACACGAATGCTCGGCCTGTCCTGAGGTCGTGAGGTCGATACCCGGCCACGGCTACGCGTTCCGGGAGCCGCTGCCGAACGACGAGCTGCTGCTGCTTCTGCAACGCCAGCTGCATGGCAGGAACGACAAATACGCCTGTGCCGAGTTCAAGCAGAGGATTGCCGAAGACGTCGTGAAGAGACGGATCGGGGATTTCAAGGTTGGAGACACAATTTTGCCTCGAACTGCTGACCTGGAAAGCGGAGTCGGAGTGCTGCTCCTAAAGCGTCATCGTCCACCTGGTACGATGTGCACAGAGCTGGGACCTCCTATGTCCTTTAGCGAATGTCCCTGCCAGGACCTCGACAGATTGGTCATTCAGGGAATACATCTATCGGGAAGTAAAAGGGAGGGAAACGACGTACTACTGAATGGAAGAGACGATTGGTCAGATATTGACGTCATGATACGTCTCGGACCACTCCCGATCTCGGGCGAGGTCGACGCCTCGCCAGCCAAGACTCATAGCACAGTTCGACAGGCGCCGGACACCACCGACGTAGAATCATCGTCGACGTCGTCAGAAATCAACAGAGAAGATGACATCGACGCCGCTCGGCTGGAGCCGACCGACCACCCCGGCTTCGTGCTTCTCTACGTGCGTCCCCGTGCAGACTGTAAACACAGCGAGTGGCTGCCGCTCTCGGGGGCCCACGTCAAAACCAACATCGAGCTTATCGGAAATCGGGGCACGGCGAAGGCTGACACACGGTCTTCGGCCATTGGTCGTCTGACGACAGGCGGTCCGTCACTCGCCTCTAGGGAAGGCGGCATCGAAGCTGACCTGGTGCCCTGTTTCAGCCTCCCTCAGTGGCCATGTGAGGAGTTCCGCCGCCGACCGCGGCCCCATGGCCAGCCGGCGCCAGCGCTGGTGGAGCGACTCTGTCGCGTGGCCGCTATGCTGGTGGCGGTCGGATTCAAAGGAAGTGACACCGAGCGCGACCAGTGGAGGCTGTCCTTCTCCAAACACGAGTACATTCTGCTGCAGTCGCTGACGGAGCTCCAGCGCGACTGTCTCGTCGTTCTCAAATACTGCTGCGCTGTGCTCTTCGAGCCACACGGACCCATCAAGGGCGCCTACTTGAAGATGGCGCTCCTCTGGGAATGTGAGGAAACAGATCCAAAGACGTGGGAAGAGAAAGGCCTCCGGAATATGACGATCAAAGTACTGGCTCGCCTCAGAGACTATGTGCAGAAAGGGAACTTGCCGTGCTACTTCTGGTCCGACATCAACATGCTGGCCATGCGCGATGAGGAAGAACTGGAGAAACTTCAGGGCACCATGAGAGGTCTGATCAACTATCTGTATACGGCCGCTGCCGAAGTCGTGGCCGCCCTCTCTTGGTACGGCGACAGCGGAGTCACCCATCCCAACCTCCCGTCGGGGGGGATCGAAGAGCACTGGAAGTTCGTTCTGCACAGACACTCGCTATGGGATCTTACGTCGCGAGAGGCAACCTGGCTGAAGGAAAACTTCATCAAACTGCTGGACAAGCAAGTGTCACCCATGGAACTAATGTACCAAAGAGTGCTGAAAGAGATATCCAACAACAGAGAGAAGCACCAAGGCCATGGCGCCGAACCCTTCAAAGACGACTGGCTGGAGGAGGAATGAAGAACAAAACGCGCCCTGGTGCCTACCAAAGCTGAATGCTGGGAGGATTTAGCAGCCTACCCCCCCCCCCCCGCAACGCCGAGCTAGGGAAGGACTTGGTTCGAGACGGGAACTAGGCTGCCGCTGAGAAGGCTTAGCCTGCTTCGGAACACAACACATTAACACAACTGTCGCTTCATTTAATGAAGGCTCATCATGTGCTGAACTGCCAATCTTACCCTCTCACGGAGGAAAACAATCCGCATCTTTTGACGCCTAACAAGGAAAAACCAATATGCTTGTCTTTATGTGATTTTCGCTAAATACATTTCTAAAACGAACTCGTCTGCTCGTTCATTGAGACCCGTAAGGCATTCAGGTTAAGGCTTTATAACGCGCCGATTACTGAGGTCATTTTGCGCCAAGGGCTTGACTGGATGTACGAGACAAAAACTGGAGCCCACTCTGTCTTTCCAGTGGATACCGATCTTCCATCTTGCACAAGAGAAGCTGTCATAAGGCTTCGAGCGCAATGGAACAAAGCATAAACCTCTCGACATGCTAAGGGCGCAAGATCAGCAATCCCATGTCTTTGTGTTTGTGAGTTGTGAAGGGGCTATGGTTGTGCCTGTGACTGTGACTGACCTGTCGGGCAGCTGTGACTGTGTCTGTGCCTGCGACTGACTGTGACTGACCTGCCGGGCAGCTGCGCCTGGAGCAGCTCCAGCAGTCCGGGTCGGTTGACCGGCAGGCCGTTCGCGTCCGTCTGCGGCACGGCCGGGACGACAGGCAGCAGGAGCGGTCCGGCCGTCTGGACGGTGCGCTGCTGAGCCACCTGTTCCAGGTACTGTTCGGCCTGGGCCGGGTCCACGGCGGCCATACCCTGAGAAAGGCGCCGCGTTAGAAAACACCCCGACCACGGCAGCCCTGCCCTGAGAGCACGTTAGAAAACACCCGGTCCACGGGCGCCATACTCTGAGAAAGACGGCACGTTTGACAAAACCTACATACCTGACACGCAGACCCAGAGATATGGAGACCCCTGGCCCTAACGCCTATACATGGTGGACATTGTGTCATACCGAAACAAAGTCAGCTCATATCCCGACGCTAAGCTCTTACGATACAGAAAAACGCAAGGAAAAACGAGGTAAGATCGTCCATTCACCAGGGCATATTTTAAGGATTTTTCACTGCGTCCCATAGGAGGCATAGGGCACATGCTTTGATCGGAAAGGGCACATTGCAAGCGAAATAGTATATAATGCAAGTGAGATAATGTACAGATACATTGTGTACTGTGCTGGTGGAGGGGCACTGCAAGCGGGATATTGGGAGAGGGCTGTGATTGCTTTTGGCCAGTCTCGAAATTCGCCCAGTCGTAGTGCGTTCTTTATCCGCATTCAAAGGGCGGACCGGCGATTTCATGACATTTACATTGTTGTTAGTCACTCGTTTTCCTGAACGACGTTGGGCGTGTTTGACCCCCTTGACGCACCAAATTGTACCTATGCTTAGAGAATAAAAATGAATATGCACATGATTAAAATGTGATACATACGTCTCTTCATGCGTTTTTCACCCTTATCAATCGATTCAAAATAGAGGTTGACGTGTGAAACATTGCCAATTTGCATTGAAGATACTATGTGTTTGAAATAATTAGATGACGTAAGGTCAAACAGTACCCACCTAAGTTGTGACAAGAAATCATCGGATTTTAAAGCTACATAAAAAATCCATCATAGATTAATGCTTTAGATGAACGGATGCTTTGGATGCTTCGGATTTCGCTTCCTTACTGCCTATCATGTAATATAACCCAAACTTTTCCCAATGGAAGTTCCTTTGTTTAATTATTATGCCCAGAAATGTATCGATTTTGTGCTATTTCCGGGCGCTTTGGGGGGGGGGGGGAGCATGGCCCCGTGGCGGCCCGTGGGCCCCCCTCTATATCCTCCTATGGCCAGACGGCCATGACGGCCCTGATCTGACCGTATGCCATCAAATGTGAAACTTCGCAATGATGCGATATTTTTTCGGAAAACGTGCCGGTATCTCAAAAACTATGATAGCTAGGAGGGCGCAATCGATAGGAGAAAAGCAATCGATATATCTTGAACAGCTCTTTCGTCAATATTTCGTCAGAATTGAGTTGAGATCAACGGTTGAGGCTCCATAGCCAAAAACGAGTAAAATTACAATTTTTGTCAATATAGGTTTCATGAAAAGCTTTTGAACCAAAAAAAGGTAGAGAATTTTCGTTTGCACGATCGTTCTTCTCTCATTTTTACCTCGAAATGTCAAGGTCAGAACTTGACCTCACATTAAGGTCATTTCGTGACCAAGATAGATCATGTCGCATATCAGTCGATGCGTCACCGTTCCGTGCTTCTATCCTCAGGATACTGAAATCCTTCTCCCCAACACCGCAACCCCCCTCCGGGCTGGACAGGCAACTTTATCTCATGCGGGCTGCTCTCTTGGAGCGGCACCGCTGCTCCCGAGGGAGCTGCACCCCGTAGCCGGGTGCAGAGAGTGCTTGGGGGGCTGGTCGGCCTGTCCATCTGGACGGGTTCAGCCCCGGCGACTCTCTAGGGTGCCTGCCCAGACCAATGTCTCCCCCTAATTCCTATCATCCATCCGGCTCTGCAATGGTCTTGTCGACCGAAAGGGCCTAACCCAACAAAAAAAAAAAAAAACAAAGTCGATGCGTTTCGATGAGGTACCTCAAAACAATGATACAATCCACTGTGCATGCAAAAGCCCTGTAGGGCCGGATTTTGGGCCAGGCTCCGGGCCTGCGGGCTCCAACTTGACATCTCTAAACAGGACTTTAGGGAAGGGCAGGACACAGAGTCTGAGCCCTAAGGACAGGGCAGGCACAGGCCATGAAGCTAAGATAAGACGGATACTTGAGGGCTGGGTAGGATGCAGGGTCCGAGGGCAAGGCAAGGCGCAGGTCTGAGGCTATCATTACACAAGGCCGGAGAGTAGTGCAAGACACAGGGCCTTAGAACACCTGATGATCAACACACCTGATGGCAGGGCAACATGCAGGATCTTATAGCAGGGCAAGAAATAGTACCTAAAGGTAGAGCAAGACATAAGACACAGGTATGGCACAAGGCCCGAAACACCGCCCACGTCTTGTCATACTATACCTTCGGGCCCCAAAGGTATGACAAGACGTGGGCGGTGTTTCACGGACGCTGCTATCAAATTCCGCGAGCTGACGTCATACTTGTGGTAGTGTTTGAGCAATGGCCCTGTTGATGTCTCCATGGAAACCCAATTTGACACGTGTAATAGCAGCGTGCTGCTAGCACCGGTGAAACAGGGCCAGGGTATGGGGCCTGAGGGCAGGGCAAGGCTCAGGGCATGAAGGCAGAACAAAGCACGGGTTCTGAGGACAGGTAAGGGCACGGGGCATGAGGCCGGGAAACGGCACGGGACCTGAGGGCGGGAGACACCACAGGGCCTGATGACAGGGCAGGGCACAGCGCCTGAGGGCGGGCATGGGACACGAGACCTTAGGGCAATGCAGAATACAGGGCTTGAGGGCAGAGTAGGACACAGGGTCTGATGGCATTGGACGGCACAAGGCCTGATAACAGGGCAGAGCACAGCAACTTAGGGCGAGGCAGGGCACGGGCCTGAGGGCGATACAACGCATAAGGCTTAATGGCAGAATAGGGCACAGGGTCTAAGGGCAGGGCAATGCACATGAGGCCTGGAAGCAGAACATGACAGGACAGGGCCTGAGGCAGGGCAAGGCATTAGGCTCGAGGATGGGCGCGGGGCCGGGGCATGAGGGCATGGGAAGGCACAAGGCCTGATGGCAGGGCAGGGCACAGTACCTGAAGACAAGGCAGCGGCACGGGGTCTGATGGCAGGACGTGTCACAAGGCTTGAGGGCAGAGAAGGGCACGGGGCCTCAAACTAGGGTAGGGCAGGGCACGGGGCCAAAAGACTGGAAGGCAGCGCATCAAATTTCCAGGCAGAATATATAAAGTATCGTGTTTGAGGGCAGGGCAGAGCGGGGCACAGGGCCTGAATGCAGAGCAGGGCACAGGGCCTGAATGCAGAGCAGGGCACAGGGCCTGAAGAAAGGGCAGGGCAAGGTACAAGACCTAAGGACAGGGCACTGGGCAGGGCACATATCCTAGGGGTATAGTAGGGAAGAACATAATAAGGTGTATGACCAAGGGTAGGGCAGGGCACAAGGACTGGAGAGGGCATGTATGTGCTTAGGTACATAGTAAATCAGGGCACAAAGCAATCGGAAAGCCAACATCTTTTACACAGTAAAAGACCGAGGCATGTTACTTATTTTTGCTCGCACTTTTCGGCTGAAACCGTGGCATTTCAGTGTGGGACGCAGTGGTCCAAATTTCGCGAGGGCTACGTCCCAAAGGCAGGGGGCTGCGTCCCAAAATGGGACGCAGTCAGTATGTTAAAATATGCCCTGCCATTCACTAATTACGGAGGAAAGTCCGGGTTGATACGAAAAAAGCTGATAAACGTCAGCTCACACCCGATAAACAAGCAATTAATATGGCAATGTCAACCACCCACACTCCCGTACGCTGGCACGAACGAACGTTCACGAGTACCACAACACACAGCCATAACCTGGTCTATATATTCTCCGTCACATACCAGGCGGTTTTACTGTTTTGGGAAATGTTTTTAGAGGTGACATCAAACTTCGAAATCGATAGACCAGCTGGGCAAAGTCCCGAACACTCAATTGTTTATCAGTCAGTACTCAGTAAAGAGGTCCCACCCATCCTGTCTCTTTCAACTCTCCCGTAACGTTTCAATATCGTCCCATCCCGTCCCGTCCCGTCCCGTCCCGTCGCGTCCCGTACCGTCGCGTCCCGTCCCGTCCTGTCCCGTCCCGTCCCGTCCCGTCCCGTCCCGCCCCGCCCCGCCCCGCCCCGTCCCGTCCCGTCCCGTCGCGTCCCGTCCTGTCCCGTCCCGTCCCGTCCCGTCCCGTCCCGTCCCGTCCCGTCCCGCCCCGCCCCGCCCCGCCCCGCCCCGCCCCGTCCCGTCCCGCCCCGCCCCGTCGCGTCCCGGCGCCGGCTGACTCACCTGGTAGACGGCCAGCTGCTGCGGTAGGGCGGCCACGTGGAGCGGGTCGACGCCGGGCGCCGGCACCAGCGGCACGGCTGGGTCGCCCGGCGTGTACGGCTGCCAAGCGCCAGACGACGGCTCCCAGTAGTACCTGCGACGGCCGGAGAGCGTCAGATAACGGCCCGCCCGTCCGCCGCCACCGACACGGGACAGAGTGGTGGGAACGGAGGGCTGGCGGCAGCCGCGTCGGAGTATAGCTACGGTAGCGTTGGAATTCGAGTTGAGAGTGGTAAACCCGGTTCGAGTCCCTCCATTGCCCTCCATTTCTGTTTATGACGGGTAAGACAAGCGTTTTGTGAAAAAAAATGGCGTAAATGGAGGGCTACTAAGCGGATCGTACGGACATCTATTCGTACGGAATGCGAAGTTTCTTCATTTTCCAGCCCAAATGTTTCTCATTCAGAATTGTAACGATACACTGCACGCACCGGCCGCAGCCCTGGCAGACCGCCGGTACTCACTGGTAGCTGGGGTCGAAGATGGGCGTCAGGTGCGGATCCAGGCCGAGCATGGCGCAGCGTTTCTCGTGTCCCCTCCAGAGCTGCTGCTGCTGCTGGCGCTGGCGCCGCTCCTCCTCCTCGCGCTGTACCTCCAGCATGAACAGCTGGCGACGCTCCTCCTTGGTCAGACGGCTGTCCAGCAGGGGCCGGTACTTCTTCACCCGCACGTCCGGCTCCGGCGAGTCCCAGGCGCGCTTCCTCCGCTCTGGCGACCAGTCGTAGCCCTTCTTGGCGGCGGTCAGGCCGGGCCGCGGCTGCTGCTGCAGGTACGTCTGGTAGCCGCGGTCTGCGCGCCGGGGGGAGGCGTGCGCGCGGGAGTGTAAGAAGGATGGAAGCATGGAACGATGGTGACAGTAACGGTTCGACACGTGCCTATTACACTGACAGCGTTCGCGAGAAAACCAAAGGCAAGAAATATTAGTGAAATATTCCGAAGTACGGTATATACATAATCGTACTCGGAAAGGCAAGAAAAAACCTTTACATTACAAAACACATCTTCGATTCTATAACCGATATGCAAACGGCCTGACATAAAAAAACAAAACATTAATATACCATGACACCTACTACCCCTTGAACACTCCTCAGACCCGAGCCAACACCAAGCGAGGGCCAGACAGTATAAACACCTACCACGGCAACACGTAAACATCGGCGCGAGAAAAAAAAAACATTAGGATGACGGTTTCTATCCCTCCGTCGTCTCCCAAAAGCCAAACTGCCACCACCACCACCGGGCTCTGTCCAGCACAGGCAGAGGACGACAATTCACAGGTGAAATAGCCGGAATCAACTCGGAGTCTCAAACATCTCAGTGGCACCGGCCGCGCGGAGGTAGGTACTGACCGCGGCAGAGGTCGCGCAGACCACGGCGGTAGGGCGGTGGCCAGTGACGAGGGCGGACGGTGCGCGGGTCACATGGCCGGATCTGGTCTGAGGAGGGGACGGACCGGGTACAGGGAGAGGACAGAGGATCGGAGGACTTGGTACACTGCAGCGGAGATACAGGGTCGGCAATATGTCAGGGTAAGGCAATGCACGTTTCATGAAAGCCGATCCAGAAAGAACGCTGTCCAGTCGCAGAATATTGACAAGGATACCACAACCAATAAGACTATTTAGCCGGATAAATTATGCAGTAACGGATTTAGCATGCGTTGTGCACACACTACAGATTCGCCCTAAATAGTTAGTGTAGTGATGCGAGACATTCACGTTACGAAAAAAGATTTCCAATCGCTGTCGATCCCTGCCTGGCATGCATGGTGCAGGGTACGGAGGCGTGGGATAAAACAAGTACCGTCCACCGCAGGCCGATGCCAATGAGGTTTCCCCGGCCCAGTCACATCACTTACCGGCTTCCTTTTCGTGTTCGCGCATGATTTCGACGCGCTCCTTCTTTGGTATCCGGAATACCTCCTGTAGTCCGGACCAGGACTCGAGGAGACGGGACGCCAGCTCGGCCACCTGTACAGCATCGGTACAGCAGTCAGCGACAGTCAGACAAACGCACAGAACGTCAGAGAAAGAGACGGTCCGATGGGCGCACACAACACCCAGCAACAGTGAGGTGTGTGGGCAAACGGGCGCCGAAGTACATCACCAGCCTCACGCGAATATACCACCAGCTATTCTCGAAAACGGCTTACCGTAGTTGGGAAGGCAGCGACGTTACCCATAATTCACAAGATGGTACACTAAGTCGTACTCAGACAGTAAAAGTTCCCCACTCCACCATGACACGTCATACACTGACACCGCCCACCACCTCCCCAAACATAGCCACGTCTCGTTCCTCACCTCCCTGGCCTCCGGGCAGTCTGCTCCTCCCGTCACGGACGGCAGCACCGGCCCGGAAACAGGAGTGTCCGAGCCGGACGCCGTGTCACTCGGAGTGCCGTCCTGATCAGGAGTGCAGGGGGTGGCCGGCTGGCCGGCGGCCGCCCACCGCTCCACAGCCGTCAGCACGCGACTGTCCGTCAGACACGTCTTGTTGGGGATCGGTAGAGTGACGAGCGTCTCCAGAACCTGACGGCGAGGGCGGCGACGGTATGAGGTGTGTGTGTGTGTGGCGTGACGAAGGGGAGCTATCTGGTGAAGATAGAGGCTGTAGAATGCAGATAGTGAGCTATCAAGTAGTTAGTGCCGATTGTGACTAGATAACCAGCAAATCAGTATCATAGCGAGTGAAAACGAATGATTTATAAAACTATTGTCAAACCAAATTTCAATTATTTTTCGGGGGATTAAATAGAACTAAGTAAGGAGCTAAGCTAACGCAGCTCGTGATCAATCGTAATTCGTATTCGAACGCCATCATTGACGCCAGGGCTGCGGAGTCGATTGATTTTCAGTGGCTCCAACTCCAACTCCAACTCCGGCTTCCAAAAACCAACTCCGACTCCGGCTCCGACTCCGGGCAGAACTATCGACTCCGACCGACTCCAACTCCGACTCCCGACTCCGCAGCCCTGCCAGGTCTGCGGAGTCGATGGATTTTTTTTCGGTGACGGCTCCGGTTTTCCAAAATCGACTTCTACTCCGACTCTGGTCGGAACTGTCGACTCCGACCGACTCCGATTCCGACTCCGCAGCCCTGATTGACGCCCTCATAGCCAATCGTAATTCGTATTCGGACGCCAATATTGACGCCGTTATCACTACTCACCTTCCGGCGGAACCTGTAGACCTCGTCGTCGTTGGTCCCCTGCGGCGCCGGGGCGCTGGCCATCCAACTCCACAGCAGCCGCAGCCCGTGGTAATCCAGGAACAGACGTCTGCAGTGGGGGCGGGGACGGGCGGGACGGTGGTAAGACTAACGGAGGGATTTGGCGTTTTCGTAAAGTGTCGTTTGTGACATCAAGTGAGAGTGAGGGGTGGCGCCGTGTGGAAAGAGTTAGCCGAGTTATTCCTGCAAATAAATCCTGAGGCTTACATCAACATCTAACAAGGCGCTTGTAATTACTGATGCGTGCGTCCACTACCGTGTTATGGCACAATTATTCTTTCCGTTTCCGTGGCAAAGCAGATATCAAGATAAACACACTGAATCATATTGTAGCAAAACGCTGTCATGTGCGCCATCCCCACTGACCCGCGCCGAGCGATCACTACCTCACCCCTTCCCCCTCCCATCGCCCGTCAGCGTCAGATTCGTCCCTCTGGCGTCAGACCGCATTGGCACGGTCAATTCCTAGTCATATTACGTGCCTTCCGCGGGCGACCCCGCACCCTATGGCCCCGCGCTCCGTGAACCGGCAAACGCCAATGAAAACCAGACATGCTGGGCATTGGTACGGCGAGACTGCATCCAGATGGGTAACGGATCTCTTGTTCACCATTTCAATATCGCGACATACCTTTCCATTTCGTCCCCCCTCATATTCTTCTCTTCTTATAACCATTTGCCATCCAATCCCCTTCCATTTCTCGAAAATGCTCGATCTCGAAGTTACAGTTCTGTCCTTCCCGCCATCCTTCCACTCCAATTCCTTCCGTTTCTCGTCCCGTCCGCTCCCGTTCGGCGGCACCGTCTCACCCCTACACGTCCCGCTCCGCTCCGCTCTAATCCGGTTCCGTTCCTACTGACCTGCAGGGCTGGTCGGCGGTGCGAATCAGTTCCAACAGCGTCAGACGCTCCGCCTCGCCCTCGGCTCGCACCATCAGACGGGACAGCTCCAGCGTGTGCTGCTTCGACTTCAGACCCGACGACACCAGCTTGTTGATCTCAATCTCCAGCTGACGGGCGACGAGGAAAGAACGACGTCAGGGCGAGCTCACGAAGTCATACACAGAAACATAACACATATGTGCCGCGAATGCATTGTAATGGTGCCAGAATAGTAGACTATCAACAGAGATCATAAGGAAATCTACCGAAAAAGCTTTAACTATCGGTACAACATTAACATGCGAGAAACATCGGTTAAGCATCTAAATTACGCAGGCATCTCAGCTTCAATTGAACTAAAACATCTCGATTCGGCTCTTCTGATTCCCGATTTCTACCAGCACAGCGTTTCGTCACTGAGCGAGCCACTCAACCCGCCCCTCCGCCCTATGACACCGCTTGATAACCATATCGTGCGGCACCGGCCGTATTCACCTGAGCAATAGCAACGCGGCAGAGCCAACGCGCCCTCTACAACCCCGCGTCAGTGGCGGCTGCCGTCGCAGTGATACGGTCCACGGTCACACTGCCATGGTACCCTTAACCCTTCCCTCGTGGTTCCCTTGTATTTTATCAATATTCTCCTCGTCAGACCTGGAAAACTTACCCTTTAATTTTCCGAAATTTACACCGGATGATTCTGTAGGCGGTTCTGGGCTGAACGGAGCTTATTGCGTCACGCCACAAGCCCTGCTCTGTTCTAATGGTACAATCCCAATGGTATATTCGTTTTCCACAACGTCCTCCCGATCCAGACCCCTTCACTCGCCCTCCCGTTCCTCTCCAACCGTCCCTCCATCCCCTCCCCCGGTCACTCACATCACGCCGCTCGGCGTCGCGGCGCTGTTTGGCCTGTTTGGTGACCTTGGGAGGACGCGGCTCGGCCGGCGGCTGGCCCGGCTGGCTCTCGGCCGCGCCCGGCTGCTCGGGCGCCGCCGCCGCCTCGGCCGCCACCGCCGGCACGGAGGACGGAGGGGCGTCCTCGGCGCCCGGGAGCGGCTCCTCGCGCGGCTCCTCCCCTTCCTCCTCTTCCTCCTCGCTGGAGGTTTCGTCCGTCTTCTCTCCGATCCAGCCGCGGCAGATGTCGGAGCCGCAGAAACACTTTTGTGCCTCCTTACCGTACCTGGGACACCGAGACAGAACAGGGGGTTGGATGGACGGACGGACGGCAGGTCAGATGGGACGTATGGACGGCCGGATGGGCGTGTAAACGGCCGGCTGGATGGACGCATGAACGGTTGGATAGACGGAACGAAACGTGAAGGGACGGGACGCGACGGAACTGGATAGTTTTTGGATGATGGATGTCCGGATCGTATTACGATAACTTCTCGGCAGGCCCAAAGGCCAAAACCATAATGCTTGATAGCTCTGATCGGGAATGGGCATCGGATTTGGATGACTAGGTGTGTAGATTTGACGATTTGGCTCTTAGAGTTACGGACTCAAAAATCATGAACTTATAAATCGACCATAACGCATGACAGGTGCAAATCCACCGGTAAGTCAGACTGTCTGTCGGACCGGCCTCTGTATCAGTGCGCCACCCCTCCGCAGGGCATATTTTAACAAATTTTTACTGCGTCCCAAAGTTGAGCAGAGGGCACGTGCTGGACGCAGTAAGTGCCTTAAAATATGCCCTGCCCCTCCGCCTGGAACACTCTCACTGACCTCTGGAGCTAAAGGTAACCACCCCTACCGACGGCACAGAGTACCATGACCTCACTGACCTCTGGAGCTAAAGGTAGCCACCCCCACCGACGGCATGACCTTACTGACCTCTGGAGCTAAAGGTAGCCACCCCCACCGATGACACAGAGTACCACGACCTCACTGACCTCTGGAGCTGGTAGTCGAACGTGATCTCCTCCCCCGCCGAGACCGGCCGCCGGGTGAAGAAGCCGATCCGCAGCTCACCATTGACCGTCCACTACGGTGACACAGCCGCGTCAGACGCAAAACACACAACGTCACGGACAACTAATAATTCAATCTGAAAATTGAAAAGACTAAAGCACGGAACTTTGTCGTGGAGGTTGGGTGTTGGGTTGGAATGCCTTCATCACGATTTGAACTATATTTCAAACGCTGGCTACGACTCACCATTCCTAGCGCTAGCTCTAGGCCTCGTGTAACGCACAATGACAAAATCCATAAAAACTACGATCTCGCTCACCTTTTGCGTCTCGGAGTTTGGATCACAGCTGTGGTTGATGAAGCGCGACGCGTTGCCCTTCTCTGTGGCGTCGATGATGGCATCCGCCTTGAGCGCCATGAAGTAGTAGTGGTGATACTTAAGTCGGTCGTACTCCTTCGTACGACGCTTGAACTCCTCAGAGTCCAACACCTGAGGAATAATGACATCGCATCAGCGAGTTCTAGCACACAAAGAGCACGTAAAAAACGGAAAGGCAATGGGTCTGTTCCTTTGGCTCCTCAGAAAAAAGATGAGAGGAGCTTTGAGGAGGTTGGAGGAGGCCGTATTTCGTCCCGATTTCGGTGACCACTGGAACGCAGTTCGGAGGAGGTATCAGCTGTTTGTGGAAAGAAAATGTTTACAATCCTGGCGTATTTCACTCAAGCTCACGTCTGACATAGTAGACAAAAAATAAAATTCGGAATAAAATTCGTTCGAATATCGGCTAACTTGCCTAATTTCATCCGATAATTACGCACACCGATAACTAGGTAGCACGGTGCACCTGTTTTGTATTTGCCGCGCCATTTGTGTCGTCCATAGCCTCCTCAGAAAAACCACCTTTCATTTCGGAGCAGGTTAGAGGAGGTTTGAGGCGAGTTTCAGAGGAGCTTTGAGGAGGTTGGAGGAGCCACTGGAACGATTTCATGAGCTTTGAGGAGCTTTGAGGAGGTTAGAGGAGCCAATGGAACAGGCCCAATATGATACACTAACGCATCACATGCTGATGCTGATACCATAAGAAAAAAACACACACAAATACATCACGGCGATAAATCATGCACCGCACAAAATTGTAGCACCTGGCGAAATCGAACCATCTTAAAGACAGGCGCAATATGACATCTGAGAACAAAAAGCCATCTCGCGAGCGCCACCGCCTAGCCGAGTTGAACTCACCTCTCCGACGTACTCGTAGATGAAGGCGTTCTCGGGCATATCCACATCGGCGCGCAGACCGTAGCCCTTCAGCTCCGTCTTGAACACGCTGGTCGGGTGGATCTCCTTCCTGGTGAAGCGCTTGTTGGAGCACCGGTCGCCCAGCGGACAGCGGGTACCACTGCGGGTCAGAGCAATTGAGTTGTCACTCAGCCGGCTTGGGAGCTTCATCATCCATATTTCACACGTTACCGAGAGGTTACTCATATATGGAAAGACTGCGAATGATTACATACCATTAGGCTACTATTGGTCATTCGTAGTCCAAATAAGTCAGCAAGAAGTGCCAATTTTGACAGAAATAATCGTCTCAACAGGTTGCCAATTTCAATCCATCATAAATCGCATTGAGTTGTTTGTCGCTCCCCGGATCTCTCACCATTCGATCATGAGCAGCCGGTTGAGGCAGTCCTCTCCGCAGCCCATGTCGCCCCGCTCAATCTCCTCCGGGGAGAGGTAGCAGTCGCACACCATGTGGCGCGCCTCCTTCTGCTGCTTCGTCAGCTTCTGCTTCTTCAGCCAGATCGAGTCTGAGATCGTCTGTGAGGGCGAGGCGGGGCGAACCCAGGGCAGTGAGAGCTGAGCAGCATGCATGTACTGAGTACTCGGGTAGCGGAAACAAAGTCGATGATTAATTGTTTATCTAATGTATATTTACATGCTCGAATATAAATGTTCCGAATTACGATTTATTAGAAACTCTGCGGGAAATCTTATTTTGAGATTTATGAGTTCTGTTATATAAATTTACATTTTCTTACGAACCAAACAAGAAAGAAAACTTTGGACGATAGTCGATAGTCAAGGCATACAATTTGCACAGCCTCCTAGCATAGCAATCATAGCAGCCTCCTCATTGTCAATCGCCCTTACCTTGAATTTCCTGAGTTTGTTGATATCCTTGTCTTTGATTGCGTCCACCCTGCTATCCTTCACCTTGCCGTCTCCTTTCGCGGCCTGTTGGCGGCCGGGCGTGCCGTCCGGACCCTGAGCGGGCGGCAGGGGGATGTCCAGCGGGCCCGGCGCGGTCGCCCCTGAGCCACTGTCGTCTGCCGACTGCCCGCGCCGGTCCGCCTGACCCGCCGCCGCCGCCGCCGCCGCCTTCCCTCCGGCCGGAGAGCGCTTCGGCGAGCTGGGACTGCCAGAGGACAGCCGCTCGAGGAACTTTGTCTTTGGCTTGGTGGCGCGCGCGGCGCCCGCGGCTGCCTTGTCGGCCGGCGGCGTGGCGGCGGACTTGGCTCCCTTCCCTGTAGGCGGAGCAGCGGTCCCGTCTGAAGGAGAATCCAGATGCGCCGCCGCGGCAGCGGACTTTGCCCTCGCCGCTGGTGACTTCCCTGACTTTCCCGCGGCCTTCTCTTGCGCAGTTTTGGTCACCTTGCCTGCTTTGCTCGGTCTCGGCTTGGTCACCTTATTCTGCGGACTCTTGCCCGGCTGCGTGGCAGCTTTGGTGACCGGCCCCGTCCCAGCAGCGGCCACCGACACTACGCCAGTCTCCGCACCGGGCCGGCGGATCAGCGCGTCAGAGCGCACCATCAGAGGTTGCGAGGAACGGATGACGGCGCCTCGGGACGCCACTGCCAGCTGCGACTGGGCCACAATGGGCAGCCTGCCGCCGAGTTCGCGCAGCGCCTGCAGCCCTCCCGGCGGCAGAAGCACGGTCCGGCCCGGGCCGACCAGCACGGTCCGCGCCGCGCCGGCGCCCGCCGCCGGGCCGGCCGGCCGCGGCGGCTTCCGAGCGCTGTAGCTGATGACGGGTCGCACCGGCGCTGCCGTCTCGTCTGTCGAGCCGCGCCGGTGCGGGCTGGCGCCGTCGGCTACCTCACCACCTGACTGGGCCTCCGCCGGTGGCCCCTCGTCCTCGTCAAACATACCCATGAACGGCGACGCGCGGTCGCCGCTCTCCACTGAGCAGTTACGACGCGCGGCGGGTTCACCTTCACTCTGCGCGGGCGCGCGAGTCCCCGGCTCGCGTCCGGTACCCTCATCTTCCGAGCCGTCCGGGGTCGATATCTCCATATCCGTCGGTGCGGAGGGCAGCGGCGGCGCGACCGAATCCCCAGGCAGCGGGATATCACACACGGCCGCCGCCCGCTCTGCGTCACTTTTCGACACGGTGCGCATCTCGACATCACCCTGATACAGACCGGTATCCCCAATAGATCCGCGCCTAGTCGAGCCACCGCGGCGCTTCGCCGACGAGTCGCTCACCTCCAGCGACTTCAGTTTCTTATTCAGCGCCGTCGGCGACGTTGAACCCTTCTCGCGCACGTCCAGCGGTGACGACGGCCGCGGGATATCATCCAGAGACCCTGACGACAGTCGGCGACCCCCCGACGGCGGTCTATCGGCATCCTCCGTCGGTGTCGGCGTGACGGCGTCGCTCTCAGCAGAGCCAGACTCGCCTTCGATGGAGGGCGGCTTCACGGGTCGGCCCAGGCTCGGCGGCAGCGGCCAGAACTCTGACAGGTCGTCGTCGTCGTCAGAGTAGGCGATCAGGGGACTGCGGGCGCCGTCCTCCGACATTGGAGACGGGGCCGGCTCGTCCTCCACCGAGGGAGGCTCTTCAGCCGGCGGCGCTGGCTCGCCCTCCACGGAGGGAGGCTCTTCAGCCGGCGTCGCTGGCTTGCCCTCCACGGTGGCCGCGTCTTCAGCCGGCGGCGGCGGCGGCGGCGGAGAGGAGACCTCCGTTGACGGAGCTTCTGGAGCCGGTGGATGGTCATTAGAGACTGACAGAGGATGGGAAGACGGAGTATCTGGCAGTGGTGGGAGGTCGTCTGAGACTACCAGATTACGGGACGAAGGATCGTCTGGCGGCGGCGGCTGTGGTGAACAGGATGGAGAGGAAGCCGTTGCATCCTTGGCCGGCGGCTCCGGGGAGGAAATTTCTTGTCGCAATGGTGAAGAAGTGTTTCGACGGTCAGGCGGTATTGAAGAGACAGTAATCCCATCAGTCGGCACTGGGGGTGGTTCAGGTTCTTCCATCGTTACAACAGTGACATCCTCCTTCCGCGGAGAAGAAGGCGGGCGATCTGTATCCATTGAGAGGTCTGAAGACGCCGTCGGATGATCAGCAACTGAAGAAGGCGGAAGCGGAGAAGAGCGTTTCTCCGGGAGAGACGATTGAGACACAACATCCTCACTCTCGTGAGCTGGGGACGGTGCGTTCACGGAAGACAAACTGGGCTCCTCACCGTGCTGAGGTGAAGTTTCACTACGAACATCCACCGAAGGCGACGACGCCATCTCCTTCGGTGGCGGCGACGGTATCTGACCGACGTCAATCGGTGGTGACGGCATCGGCGTGACTTCAGCCGTCGGAGGCGACGGTGGTGACGTCACATCCACTGTCGGAGACGATGATGTCGGTCGGTCTAACTCAACTGGCGGCGAAGGCATTGGCGTCACTTCCGCCATCGGTGACGGCGCGCTCCCCAGGTCCACCGGCGGGGACGGCATGGGAGTCTGCTCGACAGGAGATGGCGACGATAAGGATATCGCTTCTGCTGGAGGTGGCGGAGGCGCGCGCTCGGCGCTCGCAGCGACACCTACCGGTGACATTTCTCTCACCGGCGAGGTCCCGCCAGGAACGGAGCTGACCACGTTCTCAGGACCTGCAGACGCCTCCATGGGCTCCGGGGTGTCCGTGTCGGCGTCAGGCCGGGCCGCCAGAGTTGCCAGCGGCGCCGGCGGCCGACTGTCCTCCGAGTCAGACGCCTTGGACACCATCGGCGGCAGGCTACACGCGTTCTCGTCGACATCCGGCGGCGGCACTGGCGACGGCAGCGGACTCCGGGAGTCCGGCGCATCCACAGCCGGACTCCGAGAGTCCAGTGCATCCAAAGCCGGGCTGCGAGAATCCAGCGCCCGGTCCAGCACATCCACTGCCGGACTCCGAGAGTCCAGAGCGTCCGCAGCCGTACTGCGAGAGTCCAGTGCATCCACTGCCGGACTTCGAGAGTCCAGCGCCCGATCCAGCGCATCAGCTACGAGACTGTGCGAGTCCTGCGTCTCAGCTGCCGGACTTCGATAATCCAGCACATCAATAGCCGGACTACGCGAGTTCTGAACGTCCAACGACGGACTCCGCGAGTCCACCACCTCCACAGCAGGACTCCTGGAGTCCACAAGGTCGACTGTTGAATTATGCGAGTCGTGCTCCTCGGGACTTTGATGGTTGACTACATTCACAACCGGGTTCGGCGGAACCACTGGAGTCGGACTTTGCGAGTTCATTACATCCACAGCGGGACTGGACGAGTCCTGAACATCCACGACGGGACTCTGCGAGTCCACAACGTCCACCGCCGGACTGCTAGAGTTCATCACATCAATCACTGGACTCCGTGACGGACTCAGCGAGTCCATCGCGTCCACACGCGCAATTCCACCGTTCACAGCACCAATAATCGGAGTTGCACGGTCGACTACCTCTAGTTTATCAGGAGGCGACTCCGCCGCCGGCATCTCATGATCGTTTGTTCCTTCGGCTTGATTTGGCGACGCTTCGAAGTCCATTGGCTCCTGTCGGTCTTCTAAAACACTACTCGGTGAGCCCGGAGGCGCCGCGGAGACGTGCGACACGGTAGAATCATTCTTCTCTGTCTCTCCTTTTGCATTTCGTTGCTCCGACGCACTAGCACAACTCATATCATTATCTTCCAGAGTGCTGTCCAAATCCATTGAGTCACCGAGCGACTGTCCGGGCGCGTGAGGATCACGAAACTGAACGAGCGAATCAGGAGAGCTGGCTCTGCTGTCGGCGCGGCTGCCAGGACGTTCCGCTCTCCGCTCATCCTCCCTGTTGTTCCCCTGATCATCACCGTGTTCAACGTCTACGACAGCACCTTCGTCACCCACTTTCCGTCCGTCTCGCTGCTCGTCTAGCTCGGCGTCGGGTTCTGACGATGGCGGTTGCTGGCTCGATGTCTCACTCTCTGAGTGAGCTCCATCGGTCACTCGCTCGGCCGCCTGACTGCCGGGTGGCGCGGCGCCCCGGTCCGTCACATCCATCGACACGCTGTCCGACATCAGACTGTTCTCCTCCGACACCGGGCCGACGCTGGACGGCGCAGACATGTCGGAACTCTCCGGGTCTGACGCGACGGCCGCCGGCAGCGGCAGTTCCGTGCGGGTCAGCCGCACTGTGCAGAGCGACAGAGAGTGGGGGTGCTGCAGCTTGTCCTTGGAGTCGGCGACCGGCAGACCGTTCACATCAGGGTCTGCTGGCTCCTGGTCGGCTGACTCCGGCGGCGGCTCGGACCTGCGCCGCCCCCGGCTGACGCGATCGGTCGCGGGGGCGCCGCGGGTGCGCCGACCGCCCCGCGTCGACACGCGTGTGGTAGCGGGAGGCGCCGGCGGCGGCGGCGGCGGCGGCGGAGGGGGCGCCGGTTCCGACGGCGCCGCCGCAGCCGGAGAGGGCGTTGACTCCACGCGACCGTTAGTGATTGGCATCAAACGCTTGTTGGGCGTCCTCTGGCGCCGTGAGACGCGGCGCCCCGCGTCGGTGGACGTTGGTTCCGGCAGGGTGTCTGGTGTCTCTGGAGCACCGTCAGCCGACTCACTGCGCCGCGGTCTGCCCCGTCGAGCTGTTTCGGGGAGCGGGACGCTGTCCGGTGTCTCGGAGGTATCCTCAGTCGGCTGGACGCGCCGCACTCTGCCCCGTCGAGCTGTATCGGGAGACGATGCTCCTGATACGTTGACCGGCGTCTCGGGGGTATCCTCAGCTGGCTGGACGCGCCGCGGTCGGCCCCGTCGAGGCGGCGAGGTGGAGTCCAGGGAGACAGAGCTGCGGGCGCCGCGCGAGCCTCGTCCCCGGGAGCCGCGTCCGGCGCTAGGAGCGGCCGCGCTCCTCACCATGCTGGTGTGTGGTGAGCCTCAATCTGAAACAGAAAATAGTTCCAGCTGCCACCCACAGAACACAGACAGATGCATGACATATAAACAACCAGGAGTATATAAACAAATCAGGTTACAGTAGCACTATTGATAGCTTCAAAATTATGTATACAGTAAAACAGCATTGATAATTCCAAAATTATGGATTAACACTCATTTCCCTGATGTTTAAAACAGGCATCTCCACATCAATTTAAGATGTTTAAACCTTGTTTTGAAATTAAAGGTAAATTGTATAGCTAAGTTTTACTCTGTTCCATACAAATTCATGCTATCATTTCATTTCTATTCATCACCAGCATTGATATATCTAACACTCCCTGAGACCTGAGAGCAAAAGCTCATCAACTGGAAAATTCATCATTGACAATTTTCTTTCAGTTTCTGATATTTCTCATAGTTTATATTGAGTTAGCTCTACTTTTGAATACAAGAACCTACATCTATGATCTGTTTATGTTATCTATTTGGAAAAGGTAAAAGGCCAAAAGTTATGATGTTTCAATAAACAGTCTTTCATCAAAAGGTTAGCAAGACAAAAATAAAGTAATACAATCTTCAGTAATCAGTTATCTAGATATCACAAAACAATACAAGCATCAAAGCCATTTTCATAAATTTAACAATTTTGTTACACAGCTTGAGAGAAGATGCTGATGGTATAGCCTGATGTATAGGTAGGTAATTAATTCATGTGAAAAACATTGTAAGCAATTATAGTTTATCATGCTTTGCCTGAGAGTGCTTTCATTTTATTGCCTTATTTTTCAAATCGATGCAGGATTAAGAGTGGGGAATTCATCACCTGCAACATGTTGATGTGTAGGATTTAACACTGTCCTTTCATACTTTTATGTAAAACACTGAAGTATCGCCCTCCATCCTGATCCCAGACCTCGGACCTAATGGAAGTTGGAAACCAATGCAACAAGATCTTTCAGTTGTACTGTAAATAAATACAATCAGAAGTCAGAAAACAAATATTAAATACGTACTTACTTATTTACTTTTTGAACTCCACTGCCAATCCTGATCCGCAAAGGATGCAAGGGATCAGTGGCTAACTGTAACGTTTCGTACAGTTGAACCGCACTACCTTCTACTGTACAGTTCATAAATAAAAATGACAAGTTTAGCCTTCAAACTAAGCATGTCTACCAGTCAATGCATCTGGATTTATCTAGCAATACACCAAACACAAACTCGAAGACCCCGAACGCCTATCACCCTTCCACAGAAATACACAAAGCAACGCTACTTTTTGGCTATTTTCATCGAAGCTCAGCGCCAGAAATGTCACTCAATTGGCAGCATGAAGAGAACTGGTAGGTCTTTTTCTGGTAGCAAATCCGGTTGTGAAGATAAATTTTCAGGGTGAGACTAAATGCTTACTTCGAAATCTAAGCTGTGCTGCGGCATTGGCGGTTATGTGCGGCGTGTATGCCGCATGATTAGTAAGCGGCGACCACTAAATTAAAAACTCAATAGCTTTGACCTGTTTTCAATGAATAACACTGCATACCAAAAATGCCAATCGCTCTCGTCGTAAGATATTTAGATTTAAATAACTAATTTATATGCATCATCCTTTTGAACCAAATTAATGCTTTCAACTTAGTACTCACTCACTCCTTCCTTCGTTGGCTCCAAACAGTACTTCGATTGTCTGGAAATCGTATGTCAAATCCCGCACCTGTATACGACTGGTGCATATAAAGGCCGATGTAAGAATTTCAATAGGCTATCGCATGCGATTTCCTGGCTACCCAAAAAGTCTGTTTCAGTCATGCTATCAAAACATGGTATGTCAACCCTCTCACCAGCTTGTAGTGCCCCTGACCGTCATTAAAAGCCTAGTTTCCCTCCATCTTCTCTACTAGATTTAGGTGATGCTCCGACAAATTCACAAACAAGACCGAACTTGTTCGGAGTTCGGACTGTGAGTTAACCCTCGCCCTTTAGGGGGGGGCGGGGGAGGTCGAACGGACTCCCCTCGGTTTTTCGCAAATAACTCGCGTAAAAAGCGGCCGATCACGACGTAACTTTTAGTACCCTCACGTTGATCAATTTTACACCTACCCTGAAAATTTCATGACCCTGACGCAAATAACCTTTGACCTGTGACCTACTTTTCGAGACCATGTTTGGCTGGAACCGCGATTCAGCGTATGTCGGCTCGCATTAGCAGCGCGTTTGCAGTCTTTTCGTGGTTTCAAGCGTTCAAACATGTGATATGATGTTGCCCCCATGCATTAGGGTGGGTGTCAAGGTCACCTGAAAGTCAGGTCAGGTCATTGACCTTTGGTGACCTCGGTTCACTTTTTCGAGTTTGACATGTTTCTAGGCCAGTTTTTTCGAGCTGAATTCGAATTAAGCAACCACATGAACGTTAACAAAGTAGTTTTGGTGCCTTCGTAACATGTTACGAGGCTGTCAGAGGCGGTTGACACCTACTACAAATACCTGGCAGGACCTCTACTGGTTGACCTGACCTGACCTAACCCGACCTGGCCTAAATGAATGAAGGCATCATCTGTGATCAAAACTAGCATGATATTCGTGATCAGCACCCCGAAAAACCCCATAGCAGGCAGCAGCCACACTACGACGTTCTAACAGGTCCCAATTTTCCCGCCTTTTGGGTCATTGACCTGACCTGGAAGGTCAACCGATGACATAGGACCTTAAAATTGGGTATCATCGGCTTTCTCTCGTCACGGGCAACACGCTCATTTTTTCCGCGAAGCTCTAGCTTGATCAGGAGCGAAACGGCAAGGGGTTATACCTTATACGTTCGCGGCTGGAAAAACACCAATACGGGCGAGGGTCAAGTTGAAAGTATTAATTTTGTTCAAAACAATGATGTAGATAAGTTAGTTAATTAAATCTAAATATCCTATGACGAGAGCGATGGACATTTTTGGTATGCAGTGTTATCCATTGAAAACAGGTCAAAGCTATTGAGTTTTTAATTTAGTGGTCGCCGCTTACTAATCATGCGGCATACACGCCGCACATAACCGCCAATACCGCAACGCAGCTTAGATTTCGAAGTAAGCATTTAGTCTCACCCAAATTTTCAGACAGGCTGATCATTTTTTCATTCAGTTGCTTAATAAAACACTTTGAATGAAAATAACTTTTTTAAACTTATGAATTATAATTTATCGAATAATTTTCAAGTTGACAGGGAAAAAGAGCAAAAATATTTCAATCATCGTCTCCTTTATACTAGAGAAGGGGAATGATTCTAGTATATTGCTTCCATTTTCATATCAACTTATTCGGGATCTTACAAAAGGGGTAGGTTGAAGATTTACGCTGCAGCCCTGGCGGTCATGCTGTGTTATTTTTAAAATAAAATAAAATTTTAGTTAATTTTTTAAATAAAGTTAGAATTTTTAAATACTTTGAATTTATTTGTAGCTAACGAAAAAAATCTATATATCTCAAATGCAGTAAAACTGCATTTGAGATATATAGATTTTTTTCGTTAGCTACAAATAAATTCAAAGTATTTAAAAATTCTAACTTTATTAAAAAATTAACTAAAATTTTATTTTATTTTTAATACATATTTTGAATTAATTGTGTGTTTTGCAAATAATCCGCTAGAGGGCTAGACATGATATAAAATGAAATCGCCGTTTCCAGGGCCGTTTCGAGGGAATCGAGCGGACGCCGGTTTAAACAGGGCGCCGTAGGGCATATTAGTCACGTGACATTTGGAACTTCTCTCGCTCCAAGGGCCTTCTATATGCCAAACGTCACGTGTAAATTTCACGAACCTTGATCAAATCGCCCCAGGCGCCCTGTTTTCATCGTCGTCCAATCGAGCAGCGTGCGCCGGTTGTTTATCATGCGTGTACTTGCCGGGAATTGATACCCGCGCTGGTCTCTCAGGGCACGTATCTTCAAAAACCGGAATATATTGATGTTTACATTTATTCACTGTCCGAGCGTGTTTGCGTTTTTTTTTTGCAGTCTCATCATGTACCTACCTCAACCTTGGTTGAGATGTCAACACTGACACCCACAGATCTCAATCCCATGGGGTGACTGACTGGAAGTTGATGGAATTCAAGTGGCGTTTGCAAATTAAAACGATATCGCCCTGTGTGCGCATGCTGACCAAAATATTTGATTTTCAGGCTTAATTTTCATTCTTATTGAAACTTAAAACATCACGCTGCTTCATCATGAATGTCTCAAAGCTCAAGGTGAGTTTTGTTGGCTGGGACCTGGCCTGGTATCATGAAATCATTTGTTCTGCATCATTTAAACGGAATATATACCAACTACCAAGTAACTCATGATACTGGATGAGTTTACCCCACTCACATTATATAAAAATGCCCATCTGTTATTTCAGATTGCTGAGCTGAAGAAGGAGCTGAAGGAGCGTGGGCTGCCAACGAGCGGCAACAAGGGTGAGCTGGCTGCCCGACTGCGGGACGCGTTGACCGCCGAGGGTGCTGATGGCTCACACCAGGAGGATGACCTGGAGGCCAAGGAGTCTGAACTGCTTGGGGAGGAGGAGGAGGAAGAGGACGCTACCAATGTGAGTCTGTCAGGTCCTCTGCTGATATCTGGTTCACAGTGGTTATGCTGCCTCATGCATTTTCTACCTACCTGAATATATTGTTTGATTTAGGCTTTTGAATAACTTTTTTCAATAGGAGAATGCCACCCTAGCTTACACCACAAAAATGTGTTATTAAATTGGTGTGTAAGGTTTTGTCAACTGTCATGCATTACTTTTCACTTATTGCTTAATTCTTTTTATGATTAACATTAAAAAGGCTTCATATGAATGGATTGACAGAATTGAGGCCTACATTATGATTAAACAGAGCTAAATTTGATGTTACACAGGCATACAGTACCTGCCTGACTCATGCTGTTTGATTAGGCAATGCCAGGTAATGGGATAATTTATGTGCCAAAATCTAACAAGTCCATCAAATTCAAACATGGCTAGTCACACTTAAGCGAATATAACTGGTTTGAGTTGCTTTTGGTGGCTGCTTCGACCAACCGTAGACCATCCCTGTTACTTGTCAGGCATCTTGTATATCGAGGGCGACTTTTATCACCAGGAGACTGAGCAATGATGCTCTACGAACTTGGCTTCAGGACAGATGAGTATGATAATGGTAAATGGAATAATTAGACCCCTGGGCCCTGTTTCACCCGTGATAGCAGCACGCTGCTATCACGTTTCGCGAGCTGACGTCATGTCATGACGCCATACTGTTGACGTGATGGGCAGTTCCGGCGCACGATTGCCGCGACCTTGGCCGCGGCATTAAGTGACGTATGAGCCTAAAAGTAAGAGTTTACGCAGTCATGATAGTATATTTATTGTTAATATATATTTTTAATATGATGTATTTAAAAGAAAATGGGTTTAAGGAAAATTTGGACGTAAACTTCGAAAATTTAGTTGATGACGTAAAACAATATTGCGGCAATCGTGCGCCAGAATTGCCCCTTACGTCAGCAGTATGACGTCATCACATTACGTCAGCTCGCGCAATTTGATAGCAGCGTGCTGCTATCACCGGTGAAACAGGACACTGACGTATCTGGCATTTATTGCTTGCAGGAGGAGCTGGACACGAAGCTCCTGGACACATCTACCGCTCCGCCAGCGGCGGCCACGCCCGCCGCCAAGCCCAAGAAGATCGTCATCAACCGAGAGGCGGCCGAGTCGGCGCAGCAGGCGGCCGCCACCGCCATCGCAGAGGCGGCCAAGGCGGTGGCGGTCGAGCCGGCCGCCCCCGCCACCGCCCCCGCCCCGGTCACCGCCCCCGCCGCCGGCGACGCGCCGCCCGCCAGCAAACGCATCAAAATCACCGGCCTCTCAGAATCAGAGGTGGGTGGTGTAGCTGATCTGTGTTATTGAAGACACTGCACGCACAACTTTGAATATACATATTCGCAGTCTGGCATATTCATAATATGCTCGACTGCATATTATGAATATTCAAAGACATTCCCATTTTTGAATTCCCGTCTAGGTCCAGAAATCCAAAGACAATCATTCAACTGAGACCCAATGATCATTCCCGAGACAAATATCGTAACAGATCCAACATGATTGTTCGTACCTCCGATGATATTAAAGCAGTGTATTAGTGAGTTCGCTATCGTTCACCACTTGTTGCCCTGCGCCGGCAGCTGGGCCCCTCCTTGACGCAGCTGTGCGGTCAGCACGACCCCATGTCTGACCCTGATCTGTTTCTCTCCGTCAGCGGCTCGCCAAACGGGCCGAGAAGCTGGGCGGCGTGCCTGTCGCCGATAAACTGTCCAACGTGAAGATCATGACGCCTGAGGAGCGGAAGGCGGCGCGGCTGGCCAAGTTCGGCTCGTCGCCCGCCGCCCCTGCCGATGCTCCGGCCGCCGACAAGCCCGCTCAGAAGAATGGCGGTGCTGACGATCTAGAGAAGCTGAAGAAGCGGGCGGATAGATTCGGAGAGGCGGTCTCGGCGAAAGTTGTCTCGGTCAGTGATTAACGGATTACTGGTAGCGCGGTCTGATAGTGGGTTTGACCGGGGAGGCATTTGTTGATCGGCTACGCGGCTTTTGTATGATTAAGATTTTGTTAAAGTACTTTGATGAAACTACAATTCATCTGTGGCTGAGTGCAGGTCTATGTTCAAAATATGAGGTCGTTCACAAAGCACAACAAACAAGTATTTCGATATTTGAGTGATGGGGCATTTCTTCTTTCATTTTTCAATGATTTGTGGTAAATGTGAAAAACTGAGTCCCGATAGGTTTCGTCGATCTAGGCTATATGAACCGTGAGCTGCTTCTGGTCCAGTTTCTCCGATGTTTCGTCCCTTCTCGCCTCCTGCTTTTTGTACCCACTCCAGCCATCTCTTCTCAGCTCCACCCGTAGCCAGCGGTGCCGTTTCCCTAGCCAGCAATGTCGTGCTTCCCATCCCTGAATCAATAAGCCGCGGTATTTTATGTAATCGTTCGCACAGAATCCCTACTTACATCAGTACTCTTTAAGTTTCTGTCTTATTCATAAGTGACCTTGCTTTATGTCCCGCCTACCGCAGCTGGAGGAATCCGAGCGGCTCAAGAAGCGAAAGGAACGCTTCGGCATCGTCACAGCTGAGGACGCCAAGGCGAAGAGAGCGGCTCGCTTCTCCTCGAGTGCGCCGGTCGACCCGGCCACAGAGGACAAGAAGAAGCTGAGGGCGGCCCGGTTCGGTCTGGCGTAGCGGCGCCGCCGCCCCCCAGCCGTGTTCAGAGGACAGGGCGGCGGACGGAACCTCGCCGCGGCGAGGCGCCCAGTGACGGGGCGCGATCCGCACCGCCGCGTCACCCGCTGAGGATGAACGTCCCCGTCCGGCGCCACCGGCCGCCTCACGGTGGGACGGCGACGGAGGCGAGAGCTGAACGGCGGTCCTGACCGGCGTCTGCTGTGCGGCAGCTGGTTGGAGGGCAGAGGAACGCCCAACTGCCGCGCTGCCAGGACATCGGACCGCGTGGACGTGCAGAAGCGGGGGCCGCGTTGACGTGCAGAAGTACAACATGTCGGTGGTCGGCGGCTAGTCTGTCGCGTGCGGAGCGCCGGTCGCGCGATTCACGCTCGTTAGTGCTTGGATGTCATTTGTATCCCAGTGTGTTGCCATTTGCTGAGGTTGAACATTGTTTCTTTTAAAACAAATTCACGGAAAAATATTCCCATGTAAGATGTACTGTGTGCTTTGCATAGAACAATTGCTTTGTCCACTTCTTTTGTTGTCAAGTGCACCTTTTTTACCTCGATCCCTAATTTTGGGGACATCTTCCAAAGTGCGGTCCAAAAGTCAATACAACCGCTGAATTTTGCTCCTTGTGTGAGTGAATCGATCAGCGTTGAGATGTGCCGGTAGTAACCCGCACATAGGTAATAGTGTAATCGGATTATCCGATAGGCGATAAGCAGCTGGCTGCGGTGGGTGCTAATTGAGATCGCGATTGAATTTAGTACGGATTTTGCATGCCATAGCATCCATTCGTGCTCGCACATTCAACGTAGGCGTTTAAGGCAAAATTTATGGTCGTAACCGCAGGCTGTTTGAAAACACTATTCGTTAGATATAAAGGGAAGCTGGCGGCTGTCGGCGCTCAGTGAACGACCATCGACCTGGGCAGTGGACGAGGCGCCCGTCTGCAGTGCACCTATCGTCAGATCCGTATTAGGTCCACTCCGATCACACCACCCCTTCCTAAATTCCCCAAGGAATTACCCGAATACCATGCATTCTCCCTTGTTTTCCAATATCCAGCACAGACACGGTTAGAAGTCTGATGGCTGCACATCGTAAGTGGAGGGGCGGGAGGCGCGGCGGGCGGTGGGCGGCCAGTCGCCTTCAACTTTTTTTTAGTGGCCGCAACTTGGCGGGCATTGGAGGTCAATGCTGGCGGACTGAATACGAATGTGGCGCAAAGGCAAATTCGTAAACAAAGGTAAATAAGAAAATGATAAAGATGACGTCATCAGTTTTTCGCTATTTTTTTGCAGTTTCGGAACAAAGACGATGCTTTTCAAGGGCTAATTTTGAAAAAAATAGCTAAAAAGTAATTTTCTATTTACTTTTTGCCCTGTCATCTTTTCAAACACAAACTATTTTTGCAATTAAGGTGAATGGGAGAAGATATACACTGTGGGGAGAAGAAGACAGCTTCATTCTAAAGGTTTCATTGGTTGTCGCAATAAAACCAAAACCAATATACTGCATTCATGAATCATGTTAAATGTATCATGACAACCTTGCGATTGTTATGTTATTCACAGAAAACATCTATGGCGGCTGCTGGTTGTATGTAAATCTGTAAATTTCGGCGAGATATTTACTGTACTGTCTGACTTTGAATCACATTTCATCAACCTAGAGTGAAAATGAACAGATCATTCCGTGCAGAAACGAGAAGCAGAACCAAAGATGATGTCAAGCGTCTCATGCACACCGTTGACAAAGTGCGAAAATGGTGAGTCCGAGTCGTTCAATTATAAATTGTTGCCCTCGCCCCTATCAGTTATGATATCTTATGCCATTTTTTGTTCAATTTTAAATGATGCTTTCAATCCAATGAACACTTCATACCTTACCTTACTTTACCTTACACTATCGGGAAATCTGAAAGGCAACTCGCCTGTAGGTCCCGCTCTCATTCATGGTATCTTTGACCATGGTAATATTATGGAATCTTGACTGCATCAATGTCATACCATCAATATTCCATATTTTTATTGATTGGATGATTGTATATATATTGTGTATATAATGCACGTGGGCATGTTTTCTTTATTTTTTCACATTGGTTTCGTTCCAGGGAGAAGAAATGGGTGGCAGTTAGTGATACTACCATGAGGATATATAAATGGGTTCCTGTGTCCATTGAGAAGAGGAAAAAGAAGTCCCTAGCCAACAAGGAAAATCAGAGCACCAAGAATATTGAAACACCCAGTCCATCGTTTTTGGGAGAGGATTCAAACACAGGTACCTATGTTGTGGAGTGCCACTGTTGATCTTGGGTGATCTTGACTTCAGTACGAGCTACTTGGTACAAGGCGACAGGCAATCACTGGGGGAGTTCATTGATAGCTTAAATAGGAGGTACCTTTCTTATCAGCAAGACACCAACCAGATCAGAATTATTTTGTTGGGAAGAGTGAGCATACTTCGCATTGTGTGCATGTAGCTGTTCATGGCATACTTTCCCTTTCAGGATTTTCGGTGACATCCGACTCGATGGACACAGACTTCCAGCAGATAAACTTCTCGGAGGATTCCAACTCCCAGTCGATGCCCGCGCCGGGTGGAGGAAAGCGGCCATAGCGTGCCGCTCCATCCCTACAACCGGTCAGCCAGCGGAGACTCTTACCGTGCCAGTGACGGCCCGGCTCTTAGCACCCGACCAACGTCCGGATCATGACGGCATGGAAATTGCAGCTGCTTTATGCAGTGGCTATATCGTTTTAGGGCACGCTCGGCATCGAGCAAGCAGCCCGCGTAGGGAAACGGAAGGTTGTCAGTGCAGCGATCATGTCATCCCATAAGAGTGTTTGTGAATGGGGCTAGGTTACAGGTGCGTATTTTACGCTGATGACGGCCATTTGATCTGTTCCCGATCTCATCTGTCTGTCCCCTGTCTGGTCGGTTCAAGCCAGCCCGGATTTGCTTCAGGGCTCGGTTAGCGTCATCACAGAACGGCGACCATCGATTCCCTCACACAGTGCTCTCACATCATCTGTGTTTTATGGTAACGGTCCTGGATGCTCGCGAACGTCTTTTGAACGAGCACAGTCATGTCATAAAATACATCAAACGTTCAAAATATCTTTTCGAAAATGAACAGTAGAGAAAATATTAGTGTTTCGCCTCAAATGGCTCAACATCCAGGTCAATGAAAATGTTTCTCAAAAACTTCACAAAACTACGACAGAACCGTACGCGGCGAAAAGAAATGTCAGTCCAAACCAACAACCGAATCTCCACACTCTGCACAGCCTGGACCGTACAACCGGTCGGCGACACGGTCCCGCCAGCAAAAATTACACCATCTCACAGATGATTCTCGCATAATGACCACTCCATAGTATGTGCGTGACGCCGCTGAACGACCGAGTCGTCCCCGCATGATCCCTGCATACAGTCCAGTCCATACAGCGTACAGTCCAGTCGGGCCGCGGGCAGTGCGCGGTCCGACGTCCGTCTGCAGCGGGTCGCGCCGCCGCCGCTGTCCTCAGCCGCGCGGCGCCGCTGGTGGCGGTTTGTCCGCGCGGCGTCACGCTGGCGGCGGCGGCGCGTCCGGCGGCCGGCCGGCGCCGGACCGGGTCACAGCTACAGCCGCCGGCCGTCCTACCACAGCTCGCCGTCCTTCTCCTTGGCAGGCACCTCGATCAGCCGCGGCTTGTCAATGATGCGCGCCGTCCGGTTGCCCTTTTCGACGATGCCGATGATCCAGGCCTGGTAGCCCTCGGTCTTCTCGATATCCTTGCAGTAGGCGGCCGCCTGCTCGCGCGGCAGGCAGATCAGCAGACCGCCTGCGGCAGAGGTGAGGAGGGGCTCGGGTCAGTCACCGTCAGCGGACTCGGTAGTCAGGAGCATGGTGTGACGTTTACTGTTACGCGTCGGCTCCGGAGCAAATATCGTACGATTTAGGCTGGGTACAACTCGAGCACCTCAGAATGGTACATAGGATATAACTATAATGATTTCGATGAAAACGAACATAATGAAAAAAGTTTATCAAATAATTAAGTTTTATGTACCGAGATTCAGTAAACCACACAACTCTCATTACAACGCACCAGCTGATTGTCGAAAGCCATTCAAGCTCATTTTTATCGACTGTTCCGGGAGTAATGATGCGCAGCTGCCAACACCACAACAACAGAATCAACACAATACAACGCTCCAACAAAAACGCGGAATCCCTCCGCTCTTCGCCTTTTCTTCCTCTCCCTCCTCCTTCCCTTCCCCGCATACCTGACGTCTCGGCCGAGTTGCCCTGCAGCAGCTGGAACATGTTGCCGCACGCCTTGGCCACGGCGCCCATCTTAGCGATCACGGGCAGGTTGTGGATGACGAAGGACACCTCGTTCTTCTGGTTCCGCGCCAGGTTCTGCGCGTGCCCGAGCAGACCGAAGCCGGTGACGTCCGTCGCGCCGTGCGCGTTGTACTTGTGCATCAGGCGCGCTGTGGTCCGGTTCAGGCGGGCCATCGAGTCCATGGCACGCGCGTATGCCTGTTGTAAGAAAAAACGACGAAGGTAAAAAACGGCATCGAGCTGGCAAACGATCGTTTTTGACTCAAAACGAAAACAAATCAGCGATAAACGGCATTCATTTAAAATATCATGACCCTGAACTGCTTAGCACATGCATCGTGCGTCAACATACTCGCGACTGCGTCCGTTGCTCCAACTCGCCACCCCTTCTCTCCCCGAGTCCCAGCGACCGTGTACCTTTTTGACGTCATCCTCCGTGACGACCAGTTTGATCCTGTTCCAGCGCTCGGGCTGGTCGAGCCACTGGTGCGCGTTGACGGCCACCTGGGTGCCCAGCGGCTTGGTGAGCACCAGCACGTCTCCCATGACGGCCGAATCGGGCAGGATGAACTCGTTGGGCTGACACACGGTGGTGGCCACGCCGCCGATCGTCACCCACGGGTTCATCACCGACTGGCCGCCCGTTACCGAGGTACCCGCCTCCGTCGCCGCGTCCTGCGGGCAGGGGGAGGGAGATATATCGGCAGCTGTCGATATATTTTGTCAGACCTATTACATACTGAAAACCCAAATCAAAAATAAAAATTGTAAGTTAGTACGAAACAGAGCAACTAACCTAACCATTTACGTTTATATCATTATCGTACTTCATTTGCAATCCGGGGTATAGTCCCTCTTGGGGGTACCGCGTCCCGAATGTATCGCTATCGCTCCCTGGTTTGAGAGCCTCTGGTCTGAGGGTTGGCCGCCTGGCCGGCCCGTACCGTTTTCACGGGCCGGCCAGGCGGCCAACTCTCAAAGCCCAGGGGCCTCAAACCAGGGAGCGATAGCGATACTTTCGAGACGCGATACTTTCAACGAGACACTTAACTGTTTGGGAGACTACACAGTACACATACACCATACACACTACACAGCACGCGCATCATGAACCGGTTAAAAAAAAAAAAAAAAAACAGTATGAGCACACAATAGTACCGGTACGTAAACATTCCTCCAGTGTCCCAAAATATTTCGATTTGGGTGGGAAACTACATCCAAATAAAAATCATTTTGCACTCTCATCTCTAATATCTAAGAGCAATTTTCCACTCCCAGCTTTACTGAGAATAAGCATTTGCATTGGTCATTTTACATATTAGGTACATTTTACCTCATTATATAGAAATGCATGCCATTGATCTCCTTTGCAATCATTTTGGGCCCTATCTGACTGGGGAATTTTGCACTCTTATCCCCCTTTTTGGAGAGGAATTTTCGCTCTGACACCCAAGCCAAAATACAATTTTGGGACACTGCATTCCTCTACTCCTCGGTAAGGTGTGAGGCACGTGACGACCAGCTGTTACTACGTGCAGTAGGTCACACGTCATCTGTAATCTCCCGACCTGTAGGCATGACGGCGCACAACCGACGGACCGGATCACCCCGCCCCCTCCCCTCCATCCGACGATCACATGACCCCCGTCTGGCGCAGCTGCGTTATCGGTGCACCCCTCCCCACCTGACGGTCTACCCCGCCCCGCCCGACGCGGCGACGCTCCAGGCCGCACCCCGCCGTCGTTGGACGCTGGCCTCCTACCTTGAAGCCGCGCATCATGAGGGGGATGACGACGTCACGCTCCTTCTCAGTCAGCTTGGTTGAGATGCCCAGCAGCATGAGCATATTGTCACAGTCGGTGACGCCCATGGCGTACATGTCCGAGAGCACATTGGAGCAGGCGATCTTGCCTGGGTACAGTGGCAGATCAGGTTACCTACATTCACACTATAACAGAGTGCTCTAACACTATTTGATAGAAACCTACCAAAAGAAAGTATTATGACACCCTGACTTAAGTCAGGGTATTTTTTGTAATTACAAAACATGAGGCTTAGTGAAAGTGTTTATATAGAAAATCAGTTCATTCATGGCTGCTTTGGTTCAAATAATTGAGATTACCAGTGAATTATAAAACAAAAGCCATATTATGATGCTGGTGAGAGCTGCTGAATGAATGAACAATTATTGAATGAATGAAGGGTCAAATGTACATAATGAATGAAACTCATTGATTGAACTAGTGGGTTTGCCCTACTATGAATAGATTGAATGAAGCAGTTTCATCAAGACAAAATTCTGCATATATTATCACTCAATGTTACCCATCATGTAGGGATCTTCCACCAGAGGGTAAAAGAAGTCTGTAGTTTGCACAAGAGACAGTCCTCCATGCCGAAGAGGTGTGATGGAAGCATCCATCCCAATACCTGAAACATTCAGCTCTGTTATTGCACTGTAGCAGCACGTAATGCATACGATTCACCCAATACCATTGAAATTGCACATAACAGCCTCAATAATTGCACTGCATTTCCAGCAAAAATGTTAAGCTTTGGCCAAGCACAACCTGAATAATTATGCTTGAAATATTCATAATTTGAAAAAGGTAACTTAAAAAGAAAATGCAAAAAACATTCATTTTAGAGGTTCAATGCATTATTCACTTTACTCACCAACTCGTGGTATTTGAAGGTGCATAAAATGGGTATGTTCCTGATCCTGGGCACTCGCGTCATCCTGAAGTCCCTCCAAGAGCTTCAAAAGAGTCTCTTGGGGGACTTTACACCCTCATCCTTTCAGATCAGCAAAACGCGTGAGCCGGAAGTTGGCATCCAGCTCATGTGCCACAGGATCAAACGGTCGCCTGACCAGAACATTACCACCGAGTTCTAGCTGTGCCGCTGCAAGAGCGTCATTATTCACAGCATTAGGTTCCATCACCACAAGCAAGGCACTTCAAACCGGACGCGAAACAGCAACAAACTCGCAGAGGCACAGCCGGCACGCGCACGGGGCAGCGCGAGAAAATGACGGCGCCCCGCAAAATCGTGCCGGCCACAGCATGGCCACTTCCAGTCTTCTGATTGGTCGAGGACGCGGGAGCGGCGACTGGGGGAGCGGTTCGTTTTCGATAAGGGAGCGACTCTGGCGAGAGACTCGGACACAGGCTCGCTGCTACTAAATTAATAAGTGTTGAAACCGTATTTTAGGCTTTGACATTTTGTTCCTCGCATAACTGTCTCAAGCAATATGATTTCGCAAATATGCATATCCTACCCCTAACTCTCATTCAATTTAGCCTTATTGTAACCAGACCAGCCACTCCTCTTCGTGAAAGAAATCTTACCAGGAGTTCCGCAACTGCGATGGAGGCTGGAGCTGAAGCGACGACGTGTCCCCATGGCCTCAACGGTTCTTACTTTTCCACGTTCAACATCATGTCTGTGGCTATATTTTGTGGAAGGGTTCAAATTGGCTTCAACTTTCAAACGGCTTCGCTGTACTAGTTGCAGCGTCGACATAGAGTCGGACCTTTGTGACAATAGTGAAGCAAGTCGCTTGTCCCGTCCATCATATCATGGATTAGAAAGAAAAAGAACGACAGTAAAACACATACATTTTTATTTTGCGATCAACCGCAACATATCAATACGACAGCAGAGTTGAATCACTACACTCTCGCGCATACAAACTCGCAGTCAAACATAAACAGCCATGACTCACAGCAATTCGCGCGGATTCGTCCACTCTCACGCCTTCCCTGATACAAACAGCCGGCTACCACCGGTCACTCCTGTATGTGCGCCGTCCAGTGCGACCGGTACTGGTCGCTCGTCTTCCCCGCCGAGCGGGACCGCTTCCTCTCCACTCTCTGACTGTGTTCCTGCTCCCGCCGGTCCGCGATCTCCTGTCTCTCCTGCTGGAACTCTGCCGTCTTATCGCCTCTTTTCCTGTACGACCGAGCTGCCGCCTCCGGCTCACCAGCCTCGGACTCCATCCGGCGGGGCGCCAGCACCTCCTTCACGTCTCCTCCTGACCGGCCGCGGCGCGCCGAGCTACCTCCACCGGACGGAGACCGGTGAGGCTCCACCGCCCCTGAGCGGCGCGTCCCGACATCCCCCCGTGCAGTCGACGGCGAGCTGCGGCTGACCTTCGCTCTGGACTCGCGCGGTGGACTACCGGCCGTCGAGCTGGCCCGACGCGAGCTGTCGCCGTTTTTAAGAATCCCCGGCGGTGATTGGCTCCTCTCGCCTCCAGCTGCCGCTGACGGGGTGGAGCGTCGTCTTGAGCTGGACGGACGCCTCTCGGTGCTGGTACCACTGCGGGCAGACACGTAGCTCGCACTACGCGCGGCCTTCGGTGACTCCCCTGAAGTCTGTCGTCGCGAGCTGCGTTTAGCGGTGACTGCCTGTTTACTACTCGACTGTCTGCGGGGACTAGCGGCGCTCGCTGCCGTACCGCTGGACTGGCGGCTGGCAGTCTGTCCTACGGAGGACTGCTTGCTCCCACTGCGGGCTGCTGATGACTGACGACTGGGACTGGCGACTGGGGACTGCTGCTTGCTCCGGGAGACTGACGGCTGACGTCCCGGTTGGCTGCGTGAGGAAGATAGCTGCCTGCTGGGACTGTGGGTGGTCGATGGCTGGCGGCTTGGACTGCGACTGACAGACTTCTGTCGAGTCTCTGACACCTGACGACTTGGACTGCGACTCGCCGATTTTCTCCGCGTCTCAGACACCTCTCTGCTGGGACTGCGGGCGGTGGACGGCTGGCGGCTGGGACTGACGCGCGCCCCTGACTCCCGCCGCGGCCGTGCTGCCTCCGTCGCTCGCCGACTGCGGCTGGGGGAGGGACTCGAGGAGCCAGCGGCGGACGACCGGCGCCGACGGACCGAGCCCGACACGGAGCTGTGGGCCAGCGAGCTGCGGCTGCCCAGCCGGCCCTGACTCGGTGAGCTGAGACTCGTCCGCCGCCGGGCCCGCTCCCGGATAAACGTGTCGTCCTCGTCACTGGAACGGGGGAGGTGCGGTTAGGTGTGTATCTGCACATAGGTGGCGCTGATGGCAGGGGAACATCAAAACACCTGAGCGTAATGCTTCATTTTGATGTTCAAACTCACTTTTTGCCTAAAGTTTCTTTTATGAAATGCATTCAGTAATCGATACATTCAGTTCCAAATCAGTGCTACCTTCTAATAGACAAACTCGATTTCAAAAAGAATATCTTGAGAAATAATGACTTGACTCTTAGGGAGTTTGACGAGCCAGGTATTTGACGGTTTCTCCATAGCGGAGCACGTACCAGAAATAGACGGCCGGTCGGCGGAACCTCTCTCGGACTGCCTTCAGCCGGCGGTCCAGAGCGCTGCGGATCGGACTCGGAGAGCCGCTCCTACCCTCCAGCACCTCAGTAACTGAGGTCTTCTTCATCGGCTGAAAAAGGAACAAACACACGATAAACATTCATTCAGCATATTTTAAACAAGAGAACCAATGCGGCTAGCGTATAATATGCACAGAAAACGACGTTTTGGTGATTTATAAATGATGCCCGTCCGTGTCAGCCAACTTCCCTCAAAGTATAACATCGTAGAAAAAGGGCTCACGACATGATACATCACTCAAAGCCCATAGCTTAATATCTGGCGTTGCTCACTTTTTTGCCCATGAACTTGTCGACGACCATCTGTGCCTGGACGCGGACCCAGTGGTCGGCGATGCGCGCCCGGTCCGGGTCGTTCATCACGGCTGGGTCTTCCGACTCGACGATGCGACGCGCCTTCTCGTGGTTACACATCACCGCCACCTGCTTGGCCATCACTCTGATCGGGAAGGGGAAGTGATACAGTGTTCAGTTCGGTGTGGTACAGGCTGTGGCGCCGACGATGTGATAAGATGAAGTCACCTCGGGAAAAGGAACGGGAGATATCGCTCGCCTGTATTATGGTCAATAGATGCCCAGCCTACGAATTAAAAGAAATAAATAAATTTGCGCTTCATCCTATCGGAGTCAAACGGTTCATCCTATCGAAGTTACACGAACTCATGAAACTGTGAAAATCGTCAAACAACAATCAGCATCAAGCCGCCGACTCACTTTCTGACGACCTCCTCCTGGCATATGGTCTTCAGCTCCGACACCCGATCTCTAACCCGGTTATCCTTCTTCGTCTCCCGATCGCTGACTCGTTTGAAGATCTTCCCCAGTGAGCCACCCACGGCCTGTTTGGCGGCGCCCAGGTCCACACCCTCCTGGGAGCCACTCTTGCGCACCGCCGCCGGCCGGCCGCGCTTGAACTCGTGGACCTGCCGTTCCGTCTCTATGGTGATCTGTGGACAGGGGAGACGGTGGTCACTGGTCATGTATGTCAGCTACAGAAGAAGCCGAGACGAGGAGTGCACTTAGTCAAATTAGCTAGCTCATTATAATACATGGTAAATTAACTTTTCAGAGTTTGAACTTTTTTTTAGAAATGTCCAAAGAAAATTAGTAGAAGACTGAATGGCCTGATTTACGAGTTTTCTCTATGAGATACTTAATACCTCGTACGTATGTACAGGCTACAGCATAGAACAAGCGTAACTTTAGTTTTTGCTCGACTTAATTAGGTATGCATGCCTCCCTTTATTTTCTTCCCGTACACTACGCCATTGCCCATTATCATGTCACGTAAACGGTGAAATGAATAGTTAGCCTCCCCACCCACCGTCCCTCGCCGTACCTCGACTTTGATTTTCTGCACTGCGACGCAGCGCAGCAGTTCGGTGAGGCAGGCGTCCTTGAGATCCTGCGCGCGCTCCTGGATCACCTCCTGGCGGGAGCCCTCCTCGATCTCGCTGCACGAGAACGCCTCCTGTAGCTGCTGCAGCACAGAGTTCATATGCTCGCTGGTGCTGGCCACCGCCTCCATCGCGTCGGTAGGCAGCTGGAGAGGGAGCGAAGAATGGTGTATTAGACGAATGAGCGTCAATGGAAGTAAATGAAAGCGTGGGATGTAAGATACCGAACGTAGGAAACACAGGCGACCCATAAAAATGACGAGCACTGAGTGACCAGGGAAGGACGATAAATTGAGCGCAGAAACCGTTCAGAGAGGGAGTCTAACCCAGACAGACAGAGCTGAGCACAGTCGAGAAACGCTGCATCTGAGCAAATAAAACAGTCGCACAGTGAGCTGAGAGCCATACTCCACGTGCAGCCAACACACTAACACATCGCACCTTGTTCTTGGAGATGCCCTTGAAGAACATCTGTTTCCACTGTTGCGCCTCGGCCACCTCGGCTCGCACCGCCTTCCTGTGCACCTTCTGGACGAGCTCCTCGCGCACCAGCTCCATGCGGTCCTCGTTCGTCTGCGTGCTGGTGATGGTGGACTCGACGTCCTCCTGCTCGGCGTCTCTGGCCAGCTGTCGCAGCTCGGCCTGCACGGCCAGCCACAGCTCGGAGACGAGCGCGCCGCGCTGCCGCAGCTCCGACACCCGGCGGACGCGCTCACTGCCGAGCACAGCGCCGGAGAGACGACGGCGGAGAGAGGAAGGGGAGGGAATGATGGATGTGGTGAGTTGAGTTAATGGGAAGAGACGATTCAAAATAGAGAAAATGAGACACGCTCGAGTGGGAGGAGAAAGGAATGTGAACAATGATGCAGGCTGTAAGTCACCGCGAGCGTGACACTTAAATGAGCACGCATCCCTCAATTACCAGATTTTTCATTCAGTTATACTCTTCTGTCGCAACCTGACCTCCCAAGATTTCTCTCCAGAATATTCTCCTGCCTTCGCTTCCACACCCCTGGCTCGCCACTCACTCTTCCATGGCCCGGCCGACGGCAGTCCGGGTCAGCCCCCGCGTGGACCGCTCCAGGCGATACGGTAGCTCCACGACGTAGCACTGGCCGCGGTACAGTCGGTCCTTGGCGTCCGTGTGCGCCGTCTTACGGTCAGGTAACTGTACGGGAAGAGACAGAGGATTATTTGCTGATGGATATAAGCTACTACGCTCACATATTACAAGTTTATCGGTGTAATACCTACGACATAAACCCCTGCAATGAGCATACAACTTCGTTTTTACATAAAAAGATTGGTCATTTTGAGGAGGTCAATCCCTCATCCTACATATCATCCGCTAAACCT